AAGGAGTGCAATGCAGCGGAGGACGGCGGCGACGGGCGGCGACGGCGACAACGCGCGCTGCGACCGATAACAAGGCACAGACGACGGGCGGCGGCGAAAGGCGGCGACAGGGACAACAAGCGCGGCGACCGACAACCAACGGCGACAGAATAGCCGCCAGACCGACAACCAGGGCCAGTTCCCCAGATAAGAAATAAAAACTCCTAAGTGCAAGCACTGCTTTGGAAATTCAACCAATCCGCCGGCCCCCTCGTGGGGCCACCAGGCTGTAGGGCGAAGGTTCGCAGTTTCCTCTACCAGTTGATCCTTCCAGTTTCCACTGTTACAGTTCTGCTTCTTGCTGCTTGCTGTTCCTTGTTGATGGAACGCGCGAGGGAGGAAGGCCAAAAACGAGCATTTTTACCACGCCCTGAGCATGTGCTCTAAATTGCTGGGGTGGGTAAAAATTGACACCCCTCACGCAGATCGGCGGGGACAGGGTCCAAAAAACACACGGGATTGGCCACATTTCTGAAATTCGGTAACACCCCTCACGCAGATCGGCGGGGTCAGGGTCCAAAAACACATGGGATTTGCCACATTTCTGAAACTTGCTGGCACCCCTCATGCAGATCGGCGGGGTCAGGGTCCAAAAACACATGGGATTTGCCACATTTCTGACACTCGGTGGCACCTCTCACGCAGATCGGCGGGGACAGGGTACAAAAACAAAAAGGGTTTGCCACATTTCTGAAATTCGCTGGCACCTCTCACGCAGATCGGCGGGCTCAGGGTCCAAAAACACATGGGATTTGCCACATTTCTGAAATTCGGCGGCACCCCTCACGCAGATCGGCAGGGTCAGGGTCCAAAAACACATGGGATTTGCCACATTTCTGAAATTCGGCGGCACCCCTCACGCAGATCCGCAGGGTCGGGGTCCAAAAACATATGGGATTTGCCACATTTCTGAAATTCGGTGGCACCAGTGACGTAGATCCGAAGGGTGAGGGTCGAAAAACAAACAGGTCCCGACACTGCTTCACGGCGGCGCCCAGACCTCATGATTTAGCTTTTGCATCTCCCATTATCCGAGACAGGGGGCCGGCGGCATGGGGCGAAACCCTTACGGATTACTGGGCGGAAGACGCCCGCTTCGCTGCCAAAACCCCAAGTCCTTGCCGGCTCAAGCAACGGTATAGCACAGAACAGGTTCATGCCAACAATACCCCACAGACTCGGAAGACTCGGTCCCTCGCACCTCCGCTCTCATGGCTCTGCCCATCTCCACCTGACGTGAGACGAGTTCTCTTGTACTGATGGTTCCCCCTTCTCATCCTACCCCTTCTCCTCCCCATCCTCCTCCTCATCCTCATCCTCATCATCCTCACCCCCCTCCACCACGTTTCCCCCTCCACCTTTTCGTTGCGCCTCCTCCCAATCAACCTGCATCCTGCTGCCTCACCGTAGGAGAAAAGAGCAAGCCCCAGAAGCCTCGACGAGGGACCACTTCGTCAGGGGCTGGAAGAGCACCTGGGCTGCATGACCCCCGAGCGTGTCTGAGCGAGATCGGCCTCGACCGTGCGCCCGACAGACACCTCACGCATGGCATGCGGCGCGTCCGATTACCGCCTCCAATCACGTGGTCTGAAGGCACCTCGTATTGCTGAAGGCATAACGCATGAGCAGCACTCTCGGCCTGGACGCTGCCCCCGAAAAAAGATTTCGCGCCAGATCCGTGCGGTTCCCGGACCGTAACGCGGCCCATTTTAACGAGCAGCCACGGAGCCCTGGTAACAACGGAGGCTCTGAGTTCGTAAGGCTCGGCACGGGCTCTACGACCCAAAGATCTCATGCCAAGTCCTGAAGGTGCCTCAGGGCTTGCCAAATTCAAACAAGGGGCTCCCAGAGAGAACGTACGGTCGGGCGGAACCCCGCCACTTGCTGCGAGATAGAGGACTACCAGGTGTCCGCCAATCAGAACGCCTGTCGCGCCAGTCGCACGATCACCTCGACCACGGACCACACGACCAAACGACGGGCCGACCGCGAAACCGACGCCGGTCGGTCTATGCAACGGGGGACAAGCACGACTGCGATCGTCGATACACGACTGGCAAACACTTGGCTCAAGCGATGGCTGGGTGAACAAGCTGGCAAGCCAAAGGGTGAAATCAATCCGCTCAGTTGGCCCAGGTGGACAGAAAAGTGACCAGACGATCCTCAACATGGACACGGATGGCTCAAGTTGGAGACCTCCCCAGAGGGCTGGATTTCCCGATCGCGAGTCCTTGGAACGCTCAGGATTTCGGAGATGAGTAAAATCGTGGTCTGCGTATCTCGTCAAATACTTCCATACTTCCATTCACGAAACATGGGGTCCTGCGTACACGAGGGCGTGGATTCCCTATTGCCCATGACGGCCCTACAACGTCACCAGATGGCCAGAAGCTGTTCCAGAATGGCTCTGATATGCTGATGAAAAACGTCAAACAGCACACATAGCTTGTGGATGAGTTCTGTTCAATTTCTTCTGTCTGCAGTGCCCCCAAGACGCCGTAAGACGGGCAAAGAAAGCCGCAAGAAGGCCAACGATCGCCCGACAGGGCCCCCAGAGAGGCCCAAGACGGTCCAAGAGAGCCCCACGAAGGTCCAGGAGAACGTCAAGACGGCCCCATAAGAGCCCCAACAAGACCCCAAGACGCGGCAAAGACGGCCAAATAAGGCCAAAGAAGGCCCCAAGAGGCCCCCCAAAAAAACAGGAGGCCCCAAGGGGGGGGGGGGGCCCAAGGCAGTCCAACAGGGCCCATTTTGATCACCGTTCTGGGCACGTGGTCGCACAGTACCAGGAGGTCTATTCAATTGTGCACCCTAGAAGAGAGACACCCAGGACTCCCAAGTGTCGACGGTATGGCGTAAGCCAATGAATCGTTTCTGGACGGACTGGTGGGGGTATGCGAGACGTCAAGAACAAATGGGGTGCCCAGATCAATCCGCATCGACGATGTGTAGGCGATGTGGTGCTGGAAAAAATGAGAAGTTCCCAGGCGCCGATGCGTCGGCGACGCGTGCACGGGAACCCGACTCAGGAGGGCTCGAGAAGCGCGGCGCAAGATGCGAATCTGGAATCCAATGTTTCAGCTATTGGCTTCAAAGCTCGCCCGCCCAGCTCGGTGCAGACGAAGGAAAGAGGAAGCTCACGACAGGGGTCATCACAGAGCAGGAGATCCGAATGATGAAATGATGCAATTGGGACGGGGATGAGGAGGAGCAGCAGCAGCAGCAATAGCAACAGGAGGCAACCCCAAGCCCCACTTTCTCAGGAGAGCGCCAAGGGGGCGCTAGACGCCGCGGCGGCAGCCATCACTGGCACCACGGACTCTGGCCGCTTGGCGAGCTTCGACGCCGAGGTTCCGCTGGCTGCCTCACGGGATGAGGCGGCTTTTCCGAGGAAGGCGTACGTCACGCGAAAGGCAGCAACACCATCACCACGGCTCCCTCCTCGTCGCTATGGTAATGGCGCAACTCTCTCTCTCTCTTTCTCTCTCTTTCTTTCTCTCTCTCTCTCTCTCTCTCTGGGGCTCCGGGGGCCACAGGAAATGAGGCGCCATCGTTGCACAGCATCGCAACAAAAGGCGAGCTGAGGGGCGCTGGAGACCCACTCAGGCAGCGCAAGTGTGGCACAAGACTGCGGGAACACGCGGGGAAAGCCGAACTGAAGGCATAGCCTCTGAACCTCTCTTGGCTGTGCTGGCGAGCCAGGAGACAGACAAACACATAAATCAACGAACTCAACTCCTCTGCTGCCGTCGACGGACCCATCCCTGGACAAAAACCCACGCACAAGGGCACCAAAGGCCTACACCACACCCACCCGCCAAAATCAAACTGTGGGCTGAGCGCATCTTGTGTTGCCTACTCGATTGACCTGAGGTGGCCAACCACAGAAATCACCCAGGGCCGTCTACGTCCAAAGTCTTTCAGACGGGGGAATTCAGGATACTGGACCTTTTCCGAGACTCTTCGAAAGAATCCCCCGGGATCAATCAGGCGGGCACACACTGAAAGGACGCGACTGGACGCAGAGGGTGCTCACCTCGAGGCTCTCCACCACACTCCTGTAACAGTCGGCCCCCGGACCTGACCCGGAGCGCGTTCTCGCCATGATCTCGAAGCAGATCCAGCCGTGGCGACGAGGACTCCGCGGGAGGCCCAGAAATCGCCAAAAGCGTCCTCCTCCTCCTCCTCCTCCTCCTCCTCCTCCTCCTCCTCCTCCTCCTCCTCCTCCTCCTCCTCCTCCTCCTCCTCCCGGTCCATCCAGAGCATCTACTAGAAAGGTCCAAACCAGCAGATCGCATCGATCCAATGGGCCCAGGTCGCCTTCGCCGCCACCGGCCTCTTCTCCTGCGCCAGCGGGAGTCGCGAAGGGGAGTGGCAGCGGTGTGGCGACGTAAACTGTATGCCTTCATGCAGCCGTCTGTCCTCCCACTCCTTGCCTCACAAGACTCCTGCGTCCTGGCCAGATCGGGGCGGCTGGATTTCCAAAGTTCGAACCTCCAGAGGTCGCTATCGAGCCGCGGCACCCGTCGCACAAAAAGTAAGCACGCCGCGGAGTCCACGCAAGACATTGGATCGAGAGCTCCGTGGCCCGCGTATGAAAAATCAGGCCTTGAGAAGTGTGGGCCCATCCATTCGGCACTGTCTGCTCCCACCGTTTCTCCGCCCATGCTCATGGGAGGGAGGCGAAAATGTGTTCGAATCCAGCTTGCGATTGGTGCCTCCCCGATTCGAGCTGTCAATGGAATCCGTGGTCATTCCCTAAGCCCCCCCTGCTGCAGTCTAGCCACGTCGTAGACGAGAGCGGTGGGGTCGGGCAGCCCAAGGAAGGACGAGGGAAGTGCAAGGTGGAGCACACCTCTCACCAGCCGGACTCCCTGAGGGGGAGCAGATGCCCAGAGCGTCCGCGACAGCTGGCAATTTAGGAAGAGTGAGAATTCCCTGGGCTGCGTTTCTCCCACGAAACCGACGCGAATGGCACAGTCATCCCGTCAGACACCGTGCTCGAGGACGTGGAGATGTCCACGTCATCTAAGCCCAGGTCAAAGCCCAGCTGGATACCCCAAAACCGCGGGAGACACTTCCGAGTTATACTCGACCCCTGATTTGAGACTAGTTCACGGGGCCCGCGAAATAGGAGCAGACTGAGGGCACAGTCCAAGGCAGCTGCCATGTGCAGGACTGACAGACGACCATCCAGAAGGCCAGGCGCCCGACGATTGAGGACCCGTTGGGGGTCTCAAGCCCCCTCTCCCGCCATCCCACTCCTCCCCATTTGCCTAGCGCGCATGACCGTGCGGACATGCACGCTCGTGCCCGCGTGCACGTGGAGGTGCGCGCGCGAAGGCAGGCGTGTCCGATGTCCGACGCTTCGTCTGCCGCTGCTCGCCGACTCGGCGCAGGCGCCCGCCTTCGCTGGGCAGATCTGCGCAGATCGGCCAGAGTGCCTTCGCTGAGCCGTTTGAGAGCGAGAGAGAGAAAGAGAGAGAGAGAGAGAGACCGAGCGTACTCAAGAGAGAGAGAGAGAGAGAAAGAGAGCGAGGATATCCAAGTCCTGGCCCTTCTTCTCGGAGGAGAAGAAGTCGTGGTACACGCGGGGCCCGCCGTTCTTCTCGAGGCGGCCCTTCACATCGCAGCGGAAGAAGTCGCGGAACCCCTTCTGGCGTTGCTGCTCCTCGAGTTGTTTAACTTCCGAGAGGGGGGGGGGGGCTGCGTCGAGTCCAACCCTGGAGGGCGGGGGGGGACAGCTGTTTCGAAGGGAGGCGGCCGCACTTCCACGGGCCATTGCACAGATCTTCCCCATACCGTATCGATGTTGTATGTTCATGCTTGCTGATGTTGTAGATGATCTTCTGGCGTGGCGCTCCCGGAGAAAACAGTGTCGGAACCCTGCCGATCGTGCTGAGTCTTGCCCGCGGCTCGGGCAAAACTCACGAGTTGGGGACTGCACATTGCATTCCCAACTTACAGCCTATCTACGGCATGCGTGCGACGGTATCGTCACTCTCTGACATCCTCGGCAAGATGGAACTTGAATCCAAGAGAGCCTGGAAAAAAAAACATTGCTGTGCTCAAGCAGACCGTCAGCAGGCGACGGGGAGATGCACGAGAATCCACCTAAGATCAGCGCTGTGTTAGTTTCGTACGCCATGTCTACACGCTGGATGGAGAACGCTCAATGCCTGAGTACGGCGAGCAGTCTCTGGGTGCGGACCTCCGTCATCCCACCGTGACGTCGTTTCCCTCGCCTCCCCTCTCTTGTAGGGTCTGCGACCGAACAGGAGATCATCTTCCACCCTCCCTCCCTCCCTCCCTCAGCCTGGGGGGGGGAACGTGGCATCAACTATCAGGAGGAGGACGACAACGACGCCGACGACGACGATGCCCAGGATCAACAGCCGCGTGTGGATCCTACCCCTGCCAGTCCAAATCCTGAGGGCGGGCGAGAGCGAAGCCAACCACTGCTGGCTCCGATCGATGGGCGTTGGGGTTTGGGCTCGCACACCGTCACTGCCGGGGCTCTCCTCCTCGGCGTCGGCAGCAGCCCCCGCGGCGGCACCGTCCCTGATTGGCGGCGCGCACAAAGGGGGTGGGATGAAGAAGGCGGCCCTTTGGGAGGGCGGGCGGATCCTCAGGTGGGGTCGGGGGCTTCTGACGAGCCTTCCCAGAAGGCGGGGGGGGCGTCTGAGACGCCCCCCCCTCGCCTTGTGAAGGGCCAGCCGCCCCCCCCTCCCGCCGCCGCCGTCGCCCCCGCCGTCGTCGCCGATACTTGGAGGGAGATCTGGAAGATAATCAGCTTTAGTCCCTGAATGCGTTGGCCGAAGGGAGGCACCCTGCCCGAAATAGCCCAGACTTTGTCTCGTGTCCGACCTCTTTTGCGGGGGAGGGGGTCTGGAACTGGGCAAAGAAGACAATCGGGAACGTCGAGGCGGGGTCTGATTATCTTCCCTCCTCCTCCTCCTCCTGCTCCTCCTCCTCCTCCTCCGCCTCCTCCTCCTCCGCCTCCGCCTCCGCCTCCGCCTCCGCCTCCGCCTCCTCCTCCTCCTCCTCCTCCCTCCTCCTCCTCCTCCTCCTCCTCCTCCTCCTCATCATCATCATCATCATCATCCCTCCTCTCCTCCTCCTCCTCCTCCTCCCTCTCCTCCTCCTCTCTCCTCCTCCTCCCTCCTCCTCCTCCTCCTCCTCCTCCTCCTCCCTCCTCCTCTCCTCCTCCCCTCCTCCTCCTCCTCCTCCTCCGCCGCCTCCGCCTCCGCCTCCGCCTCCGCCTCCGCCTCCGCCTCCTCCTCCCTCCTCCTCCTCCTCCTCCTCCGCCTCCTCCTCCTCCTCCGCCTCCTCCCTCCTCCTCCTCCTCCTCCTCCTCTTCCTCCTCTTCGCCGCCATCGCCGCCGCCACCTTCGCCGCCGCCGACGTCGCCCCCGTGCGCGCCGCCGGCCTGAGGCGGCCCGCTCTGCCGGCGCGCGCGGCGTCGCCGGGCGCGCCCCCGCGCAGGCCTCGGCCCACGATGCCCGGGGCCACCTGCGCGAGGCCCCTCGTGGCCTTCGGGGCTCGGAGCGCGCCCACGCGCGCCTCCTGCCTCTGGGAGCTCCCTCCCCCCCCCTTCTCCCTCGCCTTCTCTCCTGCCACCCCCCCCCACCACTGCCTCCCCCTGGCCGTCCCCCACTCGTCCCGCGGCCTCCCTCGCCCCTCGCTGGAGGAGGAGGAGGAGGAGGAGGAGGAGGAGGAGGAGGAGGAGGAGGAGGACACGCACATGGCTTGGGGGTGTTCGATGTCCGCCGCGAGAGAGCGCGGCCGACTATGGAGGGCTTAGTGCCTCCTCTCCCTGGGTCTTGGCACGCTCCTCGCGCACCAACTGGGCCAGGGGAATAGCGGGGGTCTTAAAAACGATCGGGGACGACTTTGTGCCCTTGGGATCTCGACCCTCCTGGACGCGGGCTAGCTGAGTGGCCGCTCCTTGGTGGCTCACTCTAGTGCTGCACGCACTAGCGAGCCCTCGACCCAACCCTTCAGAGAAGGATCCACACTTATGGCAAACCAAGATACTCGTCGGGTGATCAAGGTGCTCGTAGTAAAACAAATCGTGGCCTTTATTATCATGCACAAGATCGGAGAGCTGCTTACAGTGGCCTGGGCAATGCTGGGCCTGTAAGACTCCCCGCTGTTTGAAAGACTTGGTCTGCACTCTACACAGGATGCACCTGTGATACTGGTGAATGAGAGCCCATGTGTGGTACCTGAAGGGCTCTCTGGGCTCCTCTTGGGGCACAGGCGGAGGCGGAGGGGGGGGAGGCTCGACCGACGACGGCGGCGTCCACGACGAAAGGGCAGAGGCGGCACCCGTGGGGGGAGAAAAACTCTTCTCTGGGGCGGCCAAAGCTTTGTTGCGGTGGGGGGCGATCGCGGGCCACTCTCCCAGAGCCTGCGCAACATACTTCAAATATCGCACGATAAACTTCCGACTGTCAGTGAAATCACTTTTCTCTGCTTCACTGGGCTGCATTCCTTTAAAAGCGGCTGCCTTGGCAATGCGGTCAGCAGTACTATTACCTTCGGCCAACCTTCTCTCTTCACTGCCTTCTGAGAGGGCCTGCAAGTCTTGGTGGGCCTTGACCTTGCGCAGGCGCTGGCCGAGGGGGAACTGGCTCCTGCCAGCCAAGACCTTACACCCAGCCCACACGTTGTGCCGAGGGTACTCAGACCCTTGGTGCAGAGACAAAACTCCTTTATAATCAGAGTAAATGACTTCCACATCCCTAGAAAGAATACTGGCCGCAACAGCGGCCAAATGCTCCGCGGCACCCGAGGTTTGTAAAAACATCTGGCCGACTCGGCCACTGAAATGGGCAAAAGCTTCACCGTTACGCATACAGACAACCGCGAAACCTGCGGCGTTGAAAACATAGTGACCGTGGTTAGTGCAACTACCATCTATATACACCTCCCCTTCGCTGAAAGCCTCCCGCGGGGTGATCCCCTCCTGAGCACACCAAAACTCCCCAAACTCCAGGCCCGAACCAGGAGGATTCTCTCCACGATACTCGGGAACCAGCTGGAAACCGAGATACTGGGGCAGGGTCTGGGGAGGAGGCTCTCTTAAATTCTGAAGCTCCGCTGCCGAGAAGTGAGTGGTTCTGAGATTCTCTGTCTTCGGGCAGTAAAGTATGCGGTGGCCGAGGTTGTCCGAATGGTGGCCGCACTCGCAGCCAGTCTCGACTTCATATCCTGCTGCCTTGGCTCTGTCCATAGTCCATATACTCTGGGTGAGGAAGGCGAGGAGGGTTCCCTTCTGGTGGCCAAGGAGGTCTGGCGATGACAGAGCAGCACGGGCAGCAACCACATCTAACTGGGCGTTCGGGTGGCCGATCTTCTCGGCCGCCTTGGAAGCGAGCTGGCCGTGCCAGTCGAACTCCATGAGCTTTTGGAGGAGGGCGGGGGAATGTCCTGGGAGAGGGTACTCAATGCCTGAGGAGGTCACAAAAGTAAATGGTCCCTGGAATTTCCAACCGATCCTTTTAAGCGAAAGCACCGCAGCGCTGAGGGGGCCCCTGGAGGAGCCCCAAGATTTAGCAACTCTCGGGAGGATGGCCTCAGCCCAAACACGTAACTGCTGGAGGCTGGTCACGGCGAGGTGGGGGCGGGTGGCGGCGTCCCAAACAAGGCGATGCCACATAATGGCGGGGCCCAGGGCAGCTTTCCACAAGGGGTCCTTGAGGATGAGCAGAGCCAAACTGCGGCTGCGCGTCGGGCAACGGGGTCCCGCAGCAGCCAAAAACTGCGACCTAGCTGATTCCAACTGCGTGCCATTGATGCCAGTCACCTCGACTCCGAACGTGGTGGCCGCCTCGAGGCCAGTCCTATACAACTTATGAGTGTTACCCCCTGCTCTCTTGAGCATGCGAACCCTGTTAAGTCTTTTACGCATATTATCAAGACGCTCCGAAATCTTACGCTGCTTTCTCCAACGTCGCTGGGGCCGTCCAGCCCCAGTTTCACAACCCAGGTTAGGTCCAGACCTATCCGCGTTCGGGCCCGCCAGAGGCCCGAGGGCCGTCCTGAGTTGATCCTGAAGGGCTTGCTGGGACGCCAGGACCTGACTTTTCTTGCTGGCGATCTGGCACTTAAACTCAGTGATGATGCAGTCTGCCATGGACCTGGCAGCAATATTGAGCTGGCTGACGATGAGGCTGTAACTGCGGCCGTGGCACTGGAGCAGCAGATCATCTATAAACATCGCGAGCCTGATATGACAATGCGCCTGCGCCCACACGTCGAGCGGGGCGAGCACATACATTTGCACAAGATAGGTGGCCCAACTGCATCCTGCGGCTATGCCCCTCCAAGGCTTGCCTACACTGACTGCACAATCTTGTAGTGCAACTATGCGTTCACTGGCATATTGAGATAGTATGATACGCAATAAACAACACGGAAAACCTGATTCAACAGCACGATAAGCAAGACAAGGCCGATCAACATGTTCGTAGTAGTTAGATAAATCGTAGAGAACTTGGGCACTATATTGTTGATCTTTGTCAGAGCTGTTGAACTCGCATTCCAAGGATTGTTTGTATACTAATTCCACTATGGAGTGACCAGCCTGATGAGCAAGGTACGGCCTGCGGTGGTGTGCCTCCCACTCTCTGGCCGCTGACCTCCTGAGCCTAGCCCAGACTCTGTACAAAGCTGGAAGCATGCCAATGGACCTGAAAGAGGGCTGGCTGGCTGGGGCATCATGCTGTTTCAACTTCATCATCAGAGTCGATACGATGCCTTGGAGCTGGGTTGGCATATGTCCAATCTTTTCCAGCAGGCCAATAAAATCGCAGACAATCTCTGCCTGTTCGTTACTCAACATACTGAAATGCCTAGGGTGGAACCCGTCCCAGGTAGTGGCAGTGGCATGGGGAAAACTTTTCGCAACCTGTCGTAATCTCTTGGGGCTGATGGGGCCCAGGGCAATTCGATCTTCTCTGTCAGGAACTAGCTGAGGTGGGGTATCCTGGGAAACCTGCCATATTTTTGCCAGACGATCTGCTTCAGCCTGCAATATATGCTGGGGCCTGCCAGAATACTGCGACTTAAATGGAACTGACGAGGGCCTCCAGGCCTCCAAACGCTTGGTCCATCTGTGAGCCCATCCCATTCCTCCCTTCATGTTGTCCTGAACCCAATCCCTCCATGCCTTCCCGTCTGCAGCGTTCTCTGCCGCCTGCTCCTGATGCAGGAGCTTGGTGACGTGCTCTAGCAGCTCGTCCAGAACCTGGATCGCCAGCGCCTGGTTCAGGGCACCAGCGCTGAAATCAACGTGCAACAGACCTGCAGCAACTCTAATCTCTTGCAGCCCCTCCTTGAGGGACACGACGGTGGTGAACAGCTCAGGGCAATCCTCTAAGCTGTCGAGAGCGTCCTGAAACTCAGTGAGATTCCAGTCCTGAACACATCTATGGAAATCTTGAATCCTATTGATGAGCCATCTCAACGGGCCCGTGTAGGCCACCCATTTGGCCCTACTCCTAGCAGCCTTGGCCTCAGCGGGGACCATAAGAACCTGAGGGGGGTGGGCCCTGGGGTACTTGCTAGGCGTGAGGGGGGTGTTAGTTTTCTTACTGATTGTAGCTTCCAAGTCCTGGGCCAAGCTGAAATACACGTGGTCCAGGAGCACCGACTGCTGTTGATCGCTGAGCGGCCGTTGAGCATCATCGATCAATAGTGAAGCGTACTCCAATGCAGCAGCTGACTGGTGTCAACTCACTTCTGGCAATTGCGGGCCCACAGGGATACGCGCGGGTAGCTTCTGGGGCCTATGCAGCGTGGGGATATTAAAGTTATTCTCAACTACAATATCTAGCAGCACAGGTCTGTGAGGGGAGAGAGGATACGAGGAAAGAGTACGGGGGTTACTGAGCCACGGCGAGAGGCCTTGGCTAGACAGGAAATAATCTAGCGTGGATTTGGTCTTCTTGTTTCGGTAGGTGGCGGTCGGCGGCACAAGCAGGGTCATCGTGGACCTGGACAGAAACTCCGCTTGGGCCAACCTAGCGGGGGCTAGGTTAAAATCCCCCGCAACCAAAACTGGATGGGTCAAATCATCCTGGAGTTGGCCTATGGCGGCCAGCAGTTTTAAATTGGCCTCGGAGAGACCAGCAGCAGCCTGAAAGTAGGTACAACATATGGCGAACTTCGGGACCCCAGGAAGTTCGAGCAACACCCCTGATAATCGAGCGGGGTCGAAAGCGGCAGAAAAAGTGATCGGCTGGACCCCCAGGTCCAAGCCATCCCGAATCAAAATCGCAACTCCCGAAACCAACTCATTATTCTCACTCGTGGCTGCAGGCGCGATGTAAGCCAGCCACCCCTGGGCCGAGCACCATTGTATCTGACGCACAATGCTATCTCCTTCGGCAAGCTTACACTCCTGAGCACAGATGATCGTGACTGCACTAGACTGCGGCGAAAGAACAAACTTGCGCACAGCAGGCCAGCAGGAACCATTGATAGTGGCGATCTTATAAGTGTTACCCTGGCGGCTTCTGGCCCTGGGTGGCCGCGAGAGACGCAGCCTCGGCCGCCGCCTTGACCCTCTTGGTCTCGGGGCCTGACTCACTCTGGATCTTGGCCATGCCCTGGGCGACCTCGGACAGCGCAGCAGCCGCACGGCGGCGGCCTTCAGACGTGTCCATGGCCTGCGCCTCTGCCATGGTCTCCAGCTCCTTGTCGTCGGCAGGAGTGGGGACGTGCTGGCCTGGGATGGGCACGGGCGTCTGACTTGCCTGGCCGTCATCAGGGCTCTCTCCAACTGCAGGGAAGCCGTCGATGACCCCGCGCTGGGCCGCCTCCGCAGGCGGGCCGCCACCTGCTGGTGCGCCCGAGGCCTGGGATGCGACATGTTGCTGCTGCAAGGTGTCGAACATGGCGGCCAGCTCCGATACTTTATCTCGTAGTTCAGGAGGGGCCAGTCCTCCTTGTGGCATTCTGGCGGATATAACTCCTTGAATGGTGGTGAGCAAATCTTCAGCTTTGGATGCCTCATACGCAGCCGCCTGGGTGGCCGCATTGAGCTGTGTCTCCAGCGTTTGCACTTCTTTTGAGTTAGCTTCGATCTCCTCGACCAGCTTGCCGTGATATTCACTTGCCTCGACAATAGTAGTGACCAGCTCGCTGGCCTCCTGCTTCTGCGACTGCAACCTCTGGCGCAGCACCTGGAGCTGATCTGACAAGGATTGTGCTTGCTGCTCCAGGCTCTTGGCTGATAGCGCCTGCGCCTTGGCGAACTTGAGCTTGCCCAGTGCCGCCTTGTGCTCCTCTCCATCTGGCTTCCACTTCTTCCAGAAGGTGACTTGAGCTTGGGCCAGGGCGACTGGGTCGTCAGCGGGAACTGCATCCTCGAAGGTGACCACTCGGCCGCCTCCGCGCCCCAGGCCTGGTGGGCGCTCTGGACCGCGGGAGCCTTTCCTCCAGCGTCCTGGCTTGGCGGGCTCCTCCTCGACGTCAGGCCGAACATCCTGGGGGCCACCTCCACCACCTTGGGGTCTAGCTGGGGGACCATGATCCCCGCCCTGCTTGAAACGGCTGCCACACTGCATGCAATGACGAGAATTCGTCGAGCACCAAGCCCAGACCTTGCAACCTCGCTTCGAGCAGACCATGTACTTCTTCTGCTGCTGGGCGGGCATCTTCTGACGATGGCGGCGCGCTGGCGCACGCACACGAGAGGCCCTATGGCAGCACTGATGCGGGTCGTGATTGTGCCTCTGCCTGGGGCTGACCAGGCGGCACGGGGGCAGAGCAAACAAGCTTGGGCCCCAGCACCCAGGGCCTGCCCTGGATGGCAATGCTGAGACCTGCACCTCCCGCGGTGTGCTCAGGTCTTGAGCCAGGAGGAGGAGGAGGAGGAGGAGGAGGAGGGGGAGGAGGAGGAGGAGGAGGAGGAGGAGGAGGAGGAGAAGGAGGAGGAGGAGGAGGAAGGAGGAGGAGGAGGAGGAGGAGGCGGAGGCGGAGGCGGAGGCGGAGGAGGAGGAGGCGGCGGCGGAGGCGGAGGCGGAGGCGGAGGCGGAGGCGGAGGCGGAGGCGGCGGAGGAGGAGGAGGAGAAGGAGGAGGAGGAACCACCGCCTCCCCTCCCTTCCTCGGAGGGTCGAGGCCCCGCCGCGCCGCCCTGCCCGCGGTCGGATATCCCGGGATCTGGCCCCGTGCCCGCTGCAGGGCTGCACCCTGGGGTAGCCTTGGCGTTCTCGCCCTCCTGGGGCTCTCCCCAGGGGGTCCTCGTCGCCAAGGCTGGACTCGCCAGTGTACCGCGGGTTCGTGTCGTGTCGGCCCCAGCGTTGGTTCCTGACACCGCGGGGATCGTTCCACCTTGAACGATCGACCATTTCCGAATCGTCGGATCGCTCAACATCGACCGATTCTGGGTCGCCGGCGGCGTTCAACGCTGAACGCCGCCAGCGGGGTCGCCGCTGGTCGACGCGACGCAAACCTGTTGTATCCTGGTCAGGGCGCGCTCCGGGACAGGTCTGCGGGGGATGGAAAGGGGGGAGGGGGCCCTGACGTCGGGGCATCTCGAGAAAGCACGACGGGCGTCTTCGCCCCCAGCCTCGGGCCCCAGGCCCTCGCAGATCGATCCAGCTCGGAAAGACACGCGCAGCGATGGGGTACAGCTCGGAAAGACACGCGCAGCGATGGGGTACGGCAGGTTCGCGTCGTGCCGACTTCGGCGTTGGTTCCAGACACCGCGGAGATCGTTCAACCTTGAACAGTCGGCCGTTTCTGAAACTTCCGATCATTCAACATCGACCGATTCGCGGTCGCTGGCGGCGTTCAGCATTTCACGCCAGCGGCGGAGTCGCCGCTGGTCGACACGACGCGAAACTACCGGAGAGAACTTTTCGTCACGCGCTTGTTGCGACGTCCTGGATTTCCCGCGACGTCGGATGTTGGGGCCCGTGGCTCTAGGCACCCTGGCAGGAAAATGGGGGGGCATCGGGCACGGTGCCCAACGGGCCCGGCATGGTCCCGCAATCCCAACGCCGATGCCCTCGGCAAAGTCACCTCGATAAGCGTCGTCTCGTGCTCGGCATCGTGCTCAAAGCCTTCTCCTCCTCATCCTCCTCCTCCTCCTCCTCATCCTGCTCCTTTCCTACTCCTCCTCCTCCTCCTCCTCCTCCTCCTCCTCCTCATCATCATCATCATCATCATCATCATCATCAGCATCAGCATCAGCATCAGCATCATCATCATCATCATCATCATCATCATCATCATCATCATCATCATCATCATCATCATCATCATCAGCATCATCATGCTCCTCCTCCTCCTCCTCCTCCTCATCCCTCCTCCTCCTCCTCATCATCATCATCATCATCATCATCATCATCTCATCATCATCATCATCATCATCATCATCATCATCATCATCATCATCATCCTCCTCCTCCTCATCTCATCCTCCTCCTCCTCCTCCTCCTCCTCCTCCTCATCATCATCATCACCATCATCATCATCATCATCATCATCATCATCATCATCATCATCATCATCATCATCATCATCATCATCATCATCATCATCATCATCATCATCATCATCATCATCATCATCATCATCATCATCATCATCTCGAGATCACTCTGTTGAGGAGGGTCGGCGCTGCGAGGGTGAGGATGGGATCGTTGAGTTGGCTGCCGCACCTTCGCCACCTGAGCTGGAAGGAAGCCTGGCGTGAGCCACGCGCTGCAGTTGCGGTAGTCCAGGTTCTTTGGCTCCACGTCGGCACCCGAAAACGGCGCCTGCAGCCAGTGATCCAGCCGCCTCTGGAGCCCCCGCATCGACCCCAGCAGCGACGTCGGCCGAGCCACATGCTTCGCCAGGTGAGCAAAGGGCACCTCGTAGCGCCGCACGGGCGTGCATTAGTCAAAATGGTCAGAGTAGTGAGGACATGCAATACCACGATGGAGCTGACATGACATGTTAGAAGCGAAATGCCGATCGGACGATAATGTGTTCACGTTGCGCATGGAAAATGCCGATTGGGCAGGTATTCTCTGAGCTGACACGTAGGCCTATCGTGAGAACGATATGACGCGGCGTGCAATTGCTTAACCTTACATGATGCGCACTCAGGCCACGATGTCCATCAGGCACATCGTGCGTACGATACGCGTGGCGCACGTGATGCTCAGGACCCTGACATGGGCGCGCAGAGAGTTTGCAGCCGGCCTCATCCCCAGTGTACCCTCAGTCCCACTTGGTAGACCCTGCCCCACATCCCTATCCTCCCCCCTCTATCATCACCACAGCCATCATCACCATCACCGCCATCGTCATCATCCGCATCATCAACAATATCGACGTCAATGTCTCGCTTTGCTTGGGTACTCACCAAGGCCGACCCTGTGAAGGTGCTGAGCGAAAGGGCGACCCAGTAAGAGGAGGACTGGATAGGAGGAGCACACGAAAGAAGGAGAAGGATGAGACGGAGAAGGCCGAAGGGAACTCTGGAAACTAGATCAGAACTTCGCCCTCCAGACTGGAGACTTCGCGAATGGATCCAACCAGCACGAGGGGAACATTCACAACCGAATGCGAGGGTTCTAGGAAGAGATCGACAACAGGTAGGTTGTCGCGATCTGATCCCATCCCAAGGGTCCTAAGTTTCTGCCCATTGACCGAACCTCTGCACCTCACCCGTTAGACCAACGCAGCATCTCGGACGAGTCCTGCTTCGAAACGAAAGGCGGTGGTTCGAAAACGCAAATCCGGACCCCAAGAGCCCTGCTGGCCAGGAGGGCGACCGCATGGGCCCCTGCTGGCGCTTCGCGGGCATCGAAGTGTCACATCTGCAGCATATTTCAAACCCTCTTCTGTGCACTGAAATCCAAACCCACTGCGGTGGACCACACTGGAGCCTCTGGTTCCCAGGTCATCGGATAGAGAGCCTGCGGCAAATCCATGGACCCACCCAGATATGTCCGCCCGCTGGACGAAGGCCCTCCCCGAACAGTCCGCGAGCAAACGGTTCATAACTAATTTTCCAAGGCCTGAGGCCAAGAGGGGGGGAGGAGTCTCCACGCGCGCTCTGGCAGCCCCTGAGGCAAACCCGCCCACCTGGGCCAATGGCTCCCCGTGGACCAAGGCGCATTCCTCTCTGAGCGCCTTGACGATGGACGCCAGCGGGCAACGCACAGTGGTCATCCTGCGCTCCACAGAATCGTAAAAGTGGAAATATTGCGTCTCCCCCGAGTACACCTCTTGAAGGGATCGAAAGGGGCCCAACAGATTACTGCAAAGACAAGCCAGAGGAAAAGCAAGCCATAAATCCGGCAACGTGTCTACACGGGGTGAGCGTGTTAGAATGCTTTTCTTTTGTCTGGTGAGGTTTGTTTATGTTTTCTAGGCCCGAACCCCCTCTGGCAGCACGCATCGTTTTTTGAATACCGCCTCACATGGATTTGTTTTCCGGCGTTCTTCTCGGCGTCAAGACAGACAAAATGGCTGGCCTCCAAAACAACTTCCAAGACAGCCAAGATGACACGGCCCAAGATAGCCCAAGATCATTCAAGCCCCCAAGACGGCCTCAAGACAGCTCAAGAGGCCTCCAATACGGCCACAAAGGGCTACAAGAGGCCCTCCAGGAAAGCCCGAGGAGGCAACAATCATTGAGTTGTTCTTAGTTATTTGTGCGAGTTTGAGGTTCACCCCCGTTTGGGTTTTGCGACCGCCAAAGATGGCCCAAGAGGCCCCCAAAAAGCCCCAAGACATACCAAGAGGCTCCCAAGACGGCCCCAAACTGGCCCAAGAGGCCCCTCCAGAAGGCCCCAAGAGGCCCCCAAAAGGCCCCCAAGAGGTCCCCAAGCGGCCCCCAAGAGAGACCAAGAGACCCTGAAGAGGCACCCAAAATGCTCCAAGAAGCTCTGAAGACCTCCAAAAGACCCAAAACGTCTAAACAGGCCGCCCAGCTGCCCCCAAGGCGCCCCATCAGGCCCCCAACAGCCGCCAGGAGGCCCCTCAGGCATCCCAAGAGGCCTCCAAAGGACCCCGAGAAAGATCCCAAAAGAATCCAACAACCATCCAACAAGTCTCTGGCCCACGGAGGCTCCCCGAGGTCTCCACAAGACGCCACGCTCCCCAGGGCATTTCCTCCGGGCATCGTTCCTGGATGGGCCGGTGGAAATACTTTTGGTCGCGGCCGCAGGCGAAAGCGCAGGCGGCGTCAAGGGCCGACTGGGGCTACGGGCGGAGCCTAATTACCCAGCGAGCGCAATCACTGGTTGAAATACGCGAAGCGCTAAGAATTCAAACTCCTTCCTGCCACGCTGTTGCACAGGCTCGGTGGCGAGGCTTGCGCGGGGAACTGGATATTCCGACCAATGTGCATTCCACCGGAACTTCGGCGGCAAACAAGCACGACCAACGGCCGCGACCATCACACGAGCACGGTCGCCACATATATACATACCTATAAGACCACCCTGCGGGCGATAAGGAGGTTGGGGGGGAGGGGGGCCAGCAGTGGGCAACAGTGGTGATTGTTGTTTTGCCGCTCGCTCTTGGGAGCCTCGGTGTCGAGTTGTTTACGTCATCCTTCACCCTTGGGCGCCTTGGCATCATTTTCCCCCCCCCGGGAACCAACAAAACAAGTGGCACGTGTGCCATGGCTCTTGCACAAAAGGGAAGGGGGAGGAGGAGGAGGTGGAGGAGGAGGAGGGGGGAAGAGGGTGCAAGACATCGCCCCTCGGGGCCCAGCAACGGAGCCCAAATCCCAGGCGGGGAGAGGGGGGGGGAGGTGGCGTGCGTCGCGACGCGGAATCAAGTGCTCGGAGCGGAGGGGGCACGGGGCGGAGGTCCCACTGGGGCGCTGGGGGCGCGGAGAGGAGGGGGGGGGAGGTGGTGTGCGTCGCGACGCGGAATAAAATGGTCGGGGCGGAGGGGGCATTGGGCGGGGCTTGGGGCAGAGGGCCACGGGGCGGGGGTCCAACTGGGGCGCGGGGACGGGGGGGGAGGCGGCGCGCGTCGCGACGCGGGATAAAATTGTCGGCGGGGCGGTGGGGAGGGGAGGGAGGTGGGGGAGGTGGCGTGCGTCGCGACGCGGAATAAGACGTTCGTGGCGGAGGGGCTCCCGCTGGGGCGCTGGGGACGCGGGGGGGCCCGGGGCAAAGAGCCACGGCGCGGGGGCCCCACTCTGGCGCTGGGGACGCGGGGGGGGGGGGGGGAGTGTGCGACGCGGAATAAAGCGTTCGCGGCGGAGGGGGCAACGGGCGGAGCCCCCGCTGGGGCGATGGGGGCGCGGGGAGGCTCGGAGCAGAGAGCCACGGCGCGGGGGTCCCACTCTGGCGCTGGGGGCGCGGGACGGGGGGGGATGTGCGACGAGGAATACGTTCGTGGACGAGGGGGCGGCGGGCGGGGCCCCCGCTGGGGCACTGGGGCGGGGGAGCTCGGGGCAGAGAGCCACGGCGTGGGGGCCCCACTCTGGCGCTGGGGGCGCGGGGGGGGTCGGAGCTCTAGACACCCTGTGCAAGAGGATAATAAATAATTGAATTAATTTGCAAGGGCTCGGGGGGCCGTTTGGCCCGTCTTTTGGACCTCTTGGGGGGTCTTGGAGGTCTCTCGGGGGGCTCTCAGGGGCCTCTCGGAGATGGCGCACGCTCGCTGCTTCTCCGGCACCGCGCGGTCGAGCATCGGAACATTAAAGGCGGCGGGAGCGGGCCAGCGGCGGACGCCTCACAGCGTCGCACAGGCGACGGACGCGGAAGCGGCGGAAATGGTCGACGCAGAAGCGCCAGCAAAGCCTGCCGCACCCAATTGCCCGAGCGCCGGGTAGCGTCTGTGAATGCCGCGCGCAGCGAGACGAGGCGGAGCTACGACGCGCTGGCAGAATCTGGCGCGGGCGTCCGGCGCCGTGATATTCCCGCGACAGATAAACAGAATGCGCATCACTGTTGCCCACGCGAACAACGACGGTGGCGTTTTCTGGCCCATGAGACGGGATCGCCCACTGCACCAGCGCCGTCGGTGGAGTGAAAGGGACGACAGCGATGCGGATGCCGAACTCCAAGGCGGCCCACATCACAACCAACTCGCCCACGCACTCTTTGGTGCCAGCTTCTGCACCCAGCGAGTGCACAGCGCCTCGGTGCGCACGGGGCCCGGACATCCAGGCCAGCAAAGGCCGGGTAGATCACGTTCTCCAAGTCGGCTCTGAGCAGCACGGCGGCTTCGCCGCCGCAGAACCGGGCCTGGAGAGCTTCCGCCACCACGCCCAAAGGCGAGCGACGCACGCCAGCGTCGACACACCGCTGCACACCCTGCGCTGTCAGTTGGACTGCCGACCGATGGGCCGGAGCGTTGCCCGGCAAGGCCCATGCCAAAACATCTGGCCCGCGCTCGGCCAGGCCTGCTGCGAGGCATAGCCAGGAGCACGCACCCGCGGGTCGGCCCGCACACTGCCCCAGGCCCCAGACCTGCGCGTCGAACTGCAACTCGTTGGGCGCGCGCTGCGAGCACTGTGTCAGGACTTCACCACCACCCGACACTTCGCAGTCCAGAGTCCGGACCGTCTTGGCACCATGGCGGCGGAACCGTTCGAGCGCGTCGTACATTGTGCGCTGCGCGTCAGAGGCCGCGGGTCACACACGCTTGCCGGAACTGGAACGACGTCTGCTCCAACGCACGGGCGCTGTCAACCTCGTTGATGCCCACGTCGATCATGGTCGCCGCCGCAGAAGCCTCAGCCGCGGCCTCCGCCTCCGAAGCCGCGGGTCACAGAGCACCCGTCTGCGTGCACGAGGTCTTGCCGCCGGAGCCGCTCTTCCCGCGGGCTGGCAGAGCCTGGCCCGGGCTATTATTCTTCGGTTTGTGCGCGCGGACCGAGGCCACGATACTCCACTGGCCGGTGGCTTTGCGGCCCGATTGCTCCTCGCAGTACCGGGAGACGCTGTCGCTGATAGGCGCCACGCCCACCGTGGACAGCATCGCCCGCAGATTTGCCAGCTCAGCGCCATCAGGTTCGCGCCCTTCCTTTGCGAGCGTGGCGGTCCGTAAGTGTCGCTCGTGCTCAGCCAGCAGCGCTTCAGGAGAAGTGCCTCTCCGCTCCAGCAGTCTGGCAAACACGGCGTCTGCCTTGCTCGCGAACTCTGGCCTGCCGAAGAAGTCCTCCGTCAGGCGCGCGGACAGAAAGTCCGTCAAAGGTGGGAACTTGCGAAAGGCCATAGACCCTCAAGTACCACTTGGCGTACCTGGCCGTCTGGGTGTTCATGTTCTTCAGCGTCTCCACATTATCGTCGAGCATTTCGGCTGGCAAAGCCTGGCCCCTCGCAGCGAGGTCGAGGGGAGTGCGTGACCGAAGTGGGTGCGTTCGCGGCCCCCCCGCGCGCCGAGTGCAACAGAAGCCTTGAGCCGAAATCCCTGGATGGTAAGAGAATTGAGGGGGGCAAGGACCCAACGTCTCACTCAATCGATCTCACAATGGACCCCACTATCGGTTTCACAATCGATCGATCACACTATCGATTTCACTCGATCCATCTCACTATCGATATCACTATCGAACCCACTCAATCGATCTCACTATCGATCTCTCTATCGATATCACAAGCGATGTCGTCATCGGTCTCACGATCGATCTCACCATCGATCTCACGATTGATCTCTCTATCGATCTCACGAGCGAAGTCGCTATCGGTCTCACGACCGATGTGCCCGTCGATCCCACGATCGATCTCACTCGATTGATCTCACTATCGATCTCACTCGATCGATTCCACTGTCGATCTTACTCTGGATCTCGCTATCGATCCCACTAACGATATCCCTATCGATATTACTCGATCTCACATTCGATATGATTATTCATCCCACAACCGATCTCACTATCGACCTCACGATCGATCTCACAATCGATTTCGTCATCGGTCTCACTAACGTTTTCGCACCAGCGGGACACTGGGACACCGGCGGGACACCGGCGGGACACCAGCGGGACACCGCGCGCCACCGCTTGCCGGAGGGAGAATCATTTGGTCTGGCCGGGGCCCAGCCACAAGCGGCGGGACACCGGCGGGACACCGCGCGCCACCGCTTGCCGGAGGGAGAATCATTTGGTCCAGCCGCGCCTCAGCCACAGGCTTTCCTCTCGCCCGCCCACGCAGCTTCGCCTCACCCGCACGCACGGCACGCACGAACACGAAACCGAAACCGACTTTCCACTTCGATCGCACCCCCCAACCTGCGATATATATATATATATATACACACGTACATGCTTACACGACTGTGTGCAAAAACAAACATATGCATAGATGCATGCATGAATGCATACATACATACATACATACATACATACATACATACATACATACATACATACATACGTACATACATACATACATACGAACATACGTACCCACATACAGACCTACCGATCTGCCTACATACATACATATGATACTGGAGAAGAACCCAATCAAAGCAGTTGTTCGGGCTATAGGGCTAATGGGCTATTGGGCTATATGGCTATAGGGATATAGGGGTATAGGGCCATGGGGCTACAAGGCTATAGGGCTATAGGGCTATAGGGCTATAGGGCTATGCGGCTGTAAGGCTATAGGTCTATAGGGCTATAGGGATACAGAGCTATATGGCTATAGGGCTATGTGGCCAAAGGGCTATGGGGCTGTAGGGCTGTAGGGCTATGGGGCTATGAGGCTCTGGGGCTATGAGGCTATAGGGCAATAGGGCCATAGGTCTATAGGGATACAGGGCTATGGGGCTATAGGACCATAGGGCCATACGGCTATAGGGATATAGGGTTATGGGGCTATAGGGCTATAGGGCTATAGGGCTATAGGGCTATGAGGCTATAGGGATATAGGGCTATGGGGTTATAGGCTACAGGGCTATAGGCTTCTGGAACAATAGGGTTATAGGGCTATAGGGCTATAGGGCTATAGGGCTATAGGGCTATAAGGCTACAAGGCTATGGAGTTATAGTGCAATAGGGATATAGGGCTATGGGACTATAGGGCTATTGGGCTATTGCACTATAGGGCTATAGGCCTATAGGGCTATTGGGCTATAGGGCTATTTGGCTATGGGGCTATAGGACTATAGGGCTATAGGGCTATAGGGCTGTAGGGCTACAGGGCTGTAGGACTATAGAGCTATAGGGCCCTAGGATGATAGGGCTATAGGGCTATAAGGCTACGGGGCTGTAAGGCTATTGGGCTATAGGGCTATTGGGCTATGGGGCTATAGGGCTATAAGGCCATAGGGCTATAGGGCTATAGGGCTATAGGGCTATAGGGCTAAGGGCTACAGGGCTATAAGGCTATAGGGCTATAGACCCGGGCACCCGGGCACCCAGGCACCTGGGCACCCGGGCACCCGGGCGGGCCGCGGAAATCAGTGGCAAAGCTCACCTAACCATTTGAGTCCGCTAGGACCCCTACGGAGGCAAGCTCTGATTGGGGAACATAAATACATACATACATGCATGCATGCATACGTACATACATGTATATGTACGTACGTACATACGTACATGCATGCATGTATGCATGCATGCATGCATGCAGACAGACAGAGAGAGAGAGAGACAGACTGACTGACAAAACGACAGACTGACAGGCATACATAAACACACATATGTAATATATAGGCATGCATACATATACGCATGCACGCATGTATACATACATAAAAGCCTGCATGTATGCGTGCATACAGACAAATATACACACTTGCATACATATCTATATATGTACATACATACATACAAAAATGCATACATACACGCATGTGTGCATACATGCATGTATACAGATATACACGAACGCAAATATACATGCGTACATGCATACGCCTGTACACACCTACATACAGGCATATATACACACGGGCATACATACGTGCGTACATGCATATATGTATACACACACGCATGCATACATGCATACATTCAGACATGCAGACATGCAGAATGCAGACATGCTGACATACATACAGGCATACATACAGGCATACATACAGGCATACATGCATACAAATTACTGGCACGCGCTATATACCAGCCCCCTTGCGAGACCACCAAGCTGCGTAACATGTGTTGTGAGTGTTTCCTGATAACTGCGCCATGAAAGTATGATCCAATGCTGCTTCCTGGAAGCTTGTCACCGGGAACTTTTGCGACATGCGTATTCCAGCACAGCAGGAGGTTACTGCTGAACACACACGAGGGTAATTACTGCTGAACACGCGGCACACCAGGCCACAGACCAGAAAGTTTAGTCAGCTTCACCTGGGCGTATTGGATGAAGCTCCCCAGGGGGCATCCCAAAGTCTCCGAAAGGCTTCCAATGCCTCCTGGGGCCTCCAAGACGGCTTCGAGTAATCCCACTCCAGAAACCATGTAAAGTCAAAGGGCTTCCATGTGCTCTGCCTGTCGCCTGCGTTGCTCCCCCGAGTTTCCAAGATGCCTTTAAGACGGCCTCGAAGCGGCCCCAGTCTTACACAAGATGGGGGGGGCCCCAAAAAAAACGAAACCTCATACCACGATGTCCAAGTGTCTGCGCAGCTTTGTCTCGATATGATCGGTCCGGGCTGAGAAACCTACGCATTGAAGTGCTCCCCCCCCTCCCCTCGGGTCAGGAGGAAGGTGAAGAAGATGAGGAAGAGCAGCTCAGTGAATAATCTTCCTATCAATTACAAGTCTTATCAAATCCCCCTGGACCTCCGGCAGGACAAGCGTGTCGCCCAACCCGAGCGGCATCTCTGGCACCTCTGGGGTCACCTCTGGGGATGACCACCTCGCCTCGAGCTTACAGATGCAGTGCTGTCTGTCGAGTGAGAACCGCGAGCCGACTGCGTTGACGATGTCTTGCAGCGCGCGCTCAAAAGACCCTGGCTCTGGGCTCTCGTACTGCACCCAGAGCGTCAAGAAAGTCCCCTCCGCTGGGATGCTCCCCACGATGGTCTCGACAGGCAGCGCGTGTTCGCCGAAGCCAGTGTGCTCCTCCGCCACATCCAGGCAGAGCTTGGCGTAGTCCACGCCGTAGAAAAGGCAGCTGGCCTGGAGTGCCACACCCAAATTCTCTGACCGCCTAGCCGGCAACAGCAGCACCTCCTCCCCCACCACATGCGGAAGTCCCGCGGGTCTCAGGAGCAGGAGCCGCTCGTTGTCCGCGCCCGGCTGGAGCTGCTGCACGGTGGCGAGGACCTGCCGGTAGCTCGGCATGTCGCGAATCCGCCACAGCAGCTCCTCGTCGTGGAAGCTGGTGGCCGACGACCAGATAGCCTCGCTGGCCATCTGCAAGACGCACGCCAGCACAGCACTCTGGATGCCGGTCTCGAAGGAGCGACGCAGCACTTCGCCCGACGAGCAGGAGCCGCGCCGCCGCTTCGCGGCGGTGGCCGCCGCCGCGGCAACGGCCTCGAGGCGCGGGCGCGGAGGAGGAAGAGGAGGAAGAGAAGGGCATAACGATGAACAAGAAAAGTAAGGTTGAGATGACGAGTAAGAAAACCAAACAGACTGGCATAGCGTGCCGCGAGGCACTGAGTGGAGTGGCCTCAGGTACCAAGAGGCCTCCGCCTCTTGTCCTGAAGCTAATTCAGGGGCCCAGCGCTCTCGGGCGCTTCTGGGCGCTTCTGGACTTTGTCGCATGAGTTTGTCGGATCCAAGAAAGCCCCAAGACGGGCCCAGAAGGCCCCAAGAAGGCCCGAGAGGGCCCGACTCGCCGAAAGCCCGCCCCAAGAGACGCAAGAAGGCATCTAGACAGTCCACGAAGCCCCCAACACGCCACAAGAAAGCTCTAAGAGGCCCCCGAGATGGCCCCAAGAGGCCCAAATCAGTAATTCTCCATTCTTCTCTGAAGGATTTTAGCATTATCGCATTTTCGGGTTTTTGACCCTCCTAGGCGGCCCAAGAGGCCCCGACGATCGCCCCAAGATGACCCAAGAAGCCAAGAAGCCCGCAAGAGGGCCGCCTATACGGCCCAAGAGGGCCCAGGCCCAAGAGGTCCACAAGACGGCCCAAAAGGCCCCCAAGACGGCCCCAAGAGAGGCCCAAGAGAGGGAAGACGAAGGTGCCCTGGGGCCCAGGTAGCCCAGATACCGCCAAGAAGCCCCCAAGACGCCCCGAGGGCCCCAAGAAGTCTCGAGAGGTCTCCGAGAGGCCCCTAAGAAACCCCAAGGCCCCAAAAAGGAACCCAAGAGACCTCTGAGAGGCCCCCAAGAGACCCCCAAGAAGTCCCAAGAGGCTCTGACGCACAACCCAGGCACGAGAGATCGACGCCAGCTGGGATCGATATGACCCAAGTGGTGCCTCTTGAGTGCGCCATATAGCTTGCATCCAAGAGGAAAGCATCCCAAGAAGCTTCCGAGGGGCGTCACGAGAAACCCTTACGTACATCGAATACCTCTGTCCCACAACCATGGCACGGTGGCGGGATTTGCCGAACGCCACTGAGTCCGCCGCCCCCTGTTGCTTGCAAGAAGGGTGCCTGGCGTGCCAAATCCTATCACTTTTGGTGTTGGTTCTTTTCCAAAAGAACTCCCCTCTGGGGCTCCAGCGCGTCCCGCCGGCCACCCGGAAAGGACCTCAATCCGAAAAAAATCCTCCAAGACAGCTCAAGATGGTCTCTAAGATGGCCACGTTGGCCCAAGACGGCCTCCAAGATGGTCCAAGACGGTCCAAGATGGCCCCCAAGTCCGCCCAAGATGGTCCAAGACGGCCTCCAAGACGGCCCAAGAGAGTCCAAGACGGCCCAAGACGGCCCAAGAAGCCCCCCAGAGGCCTCCAAGACGGCCCAAGAGGCCTCCAAGAGGTCGTCCACGAGGGCCCGAAGAGGAAGGATTTTGGCATTCGCTTCTTCTCGGCATTCCGACGGCTCAAGACGGCCCAAGATGCCCCCAAGATCGCCCAAAGATTGCCCAAGAGGGCTCCAAGAGGGCCCCATGACGGTCCAAGAGGCCTCCAAGACGGCCCCACGAGGTCCCCAAGACGGCCCAGGAGACCTCCAAGACGCCCAAGATGGCCTCCAAGACGGCCCCGAAGCGCCCCAAGAGGACCCCAAGTCGGTTCAGAGAGGCCCCCCAGACGGCTCCCGACGGCGTCAGAGTGGCCAGGAACCCACCCAGATGGCCGAAGTTGGCTCGAAGCTGGCCCAAGACGGCCCAAGAGGCCTCCAAGAAGGCCTCCAGGAAGGCCAGAAAAGGCCAAAAACACTGATGTTCCTAAGGTGTTTGAGGGATTTTGACATGTGCTTCTTTTCGGCCTTCCGACGGCCCGAGACGGCCCAAGAGCCACCAAAGATCACCCAAAGATCGCCCAAGAGGCCTCCAAGATGGCCCCAGAACGGCCCCCAAGACGGCCCCAAGAGGCCCCCAAGACAGCCCAGGAGGCCTTTGAGACGCCCAAGATGGCCTCCAAGACGGCCCTGGAGCATTCCACGAGGGCCCCAAGTCGGCCCAGAGAGGCCCCCCAAACGGCTTCCGACGGCGTCAGACGGGCCATGAGCCCACCAAGACGGCCGAAGATGGCCCTAAGATGGCCCAAGACTGCCCAAGAGACCTCCAAGAGGGCTTCCAGGAAGGCCCGAAAAGGCAAAAAAAACCATGAGTTTTTGAAGGATTGTGGCACTTGCTTGTTGTTCGGCCTTCCGACGGCCCGAGACGGCCCAAGTGCCCCCAAAGATCGCCCAAGAGGCCCAAGACGGCCCCAAAAGGCCCACAAGACGGCCCAAGGGGCCTCCAAGACGCTCAAGATGGCCTCCAAGACGTCCCAAGAGCCCTCCAAGACGTCCTCCAAGAAGGCCCGAAAGGGTCAAAATGGCCTCCAGACGGCCTAGATGACCTTCAAGATGCCCACGTGTTCCCCGAAGGCTTCCCAAACCGATTTGGGGAACACATGGTCCGATAGCTTGGCAGGTCTGGCCTCAACGTTCGGCCACACGGGCGCCTCCAAAAAGGCAGGGGGCGGCGGTGAGTCGCCGTGGGCGTCTTCGATAGAAAGGATAGGATGGTTCTCAAGACGAACAAGACTGGCATGAAGAAGAGCATGTTAAGAGTATGTTCGCCAGCATGGATCCCAAAAGAAGCCCGAACGACCCCCAAGCATGTCCTAAGAATCCCGACAAATTCCTGCTGATGTTCTTAGTACGTCCTGAAAAACTAATTCTGGGCATGTTCGTAAGATTCCTGTTGGTTCCTTCGGACGTCCTAAAGGTGTAGAAGCATTTCCTGGTAATGTTCATGACAGTGTCCTATATGTTCTTCTGGGCACCTAGGAAATGCAACGAAATCCGCCGACCCCTTGTGGGTCTCTAGGCGTGTGAGATAGTTCCCCCCCATATTCCCCCCCCCCCCCCCGAAGGACCCCAAACCGGGGATTTGACCCCCCCCCCCTCGCCGACGACGAGCGCGCCACGGGGCTTTTTTGGGCCCAAAAGGGGCTCCAGACGAGCCAAGAAGGCCTCCAGACGCTTCCAAGACGGCCCACGAGGGCCCCGAGACGCCAAACGAGCGCTCCAAGACGCCCAAGATGGCCCCAAGACGAGCCAAGACGTCTCCAAGACAGCCCAAGAGGCCTCCAAGAGCAGTCTTCAAAAGGGCCGAGGAGCCGAAAATCGTCAATTTCCTATGGGAAAACGTACATGCTCATCATATTTGACTTGTCCGCCTTCACAGCGCAGACAACGGTCCGAGACGGCCCAAGAGGCCCCAAAGAGGCGCCCAGGTCGGCCCAAGAGGGCGCTAAGGCAGCCCAAAAGGCTACAAAGACGGCCCAACAGGGCCCCACGACGGCCCCAAGAGGGGCCCAAGAAGGGGGGCCCGAACCGACAATCTGGGCCTTCCGCCCCAAGACGGCCGCAGAAGGCCCCAAGAGGCCCCAAGAGACCCCCAAGACGCCCCCAAGAGCCCCCCAAATCAACCCAAGAGGCACCAAAACGGCCCCAAAACGGCCCCCAAGAGACTTCGAAACTGCCTCCAAGAGTCCCGCGAGAAGCCCCGCAAGAGATCCCAGAGATCAGAGACTCCTTTGCATGTCTTGCGCTTCAGTGGTGCTGTCCAGAAATTCTAAAACATCTAGCTTTCCGCCCCCAGTAGCCACACGGAGGCCCCAAGAGTGCCCCAAAAAGCCGTCAGATGCCCCCAAGTGGCTTCAAAACTGCCTTCGTGCCGCGAGATCCCGTAAGGTAAGCTGCACTGAATGCTATCATAAGATATTGCATCCTAAACGAAGGTTGCAGACGAAAGGTAAGCTGCATTGAATGCCGCGCTGCAGGGAGCAGACATTGCAAGACGAGAGAAACCGACTAATGATGCTTGACGATTTCGCGCTGCTATCACAAGGAATACAAGGGGTCGGCGGATGTGGCGTAAGCCTATAGAATCCTTGGGATGTCCCAGTGAGCTTGAAAACTGTTCGAACATCTTTTACATTCTTACGAACTTCGGCGTCGCATGCGGAGCGGACAAGCCACCCCTCGACAGGACGCGTGGGCGCAGACGCGCTGAAGGTCCTGACCGCCGACAGACCAGTTGTCCTCACGAGAGCTCCTCGCGAAGTGGAGGCAAGAAGTGCCACATGTGACGGCCTTCTGAGCGGTGCTCGGAGGATCACCACACAGAGTGTTTCGCTGGCACGGTGGCGGATGACGGGAAGCGCCTCCAGCGTGGACCGTTTTTACGAATCGGGTTTCATTTTCTCCAACGAAGGGCTGCCGGCGGCGCCGGGCAACACGGTGGCGGACGACGGGAACCGCCTCTTGAGTGGACCGATTTTATTTGTTTCGCTACCTGAGGCAACGCGGCGGCGAATTTCTGAAGAAAAGGGCCGTCTAGCTCCGGACATGCTCTCGGCGGCGAGCGAAGGGGGGGGAAGTGAGAGGGAGAAGGGCCTCTCAGAAGGCGGCGGGACTTCTCAGAAGCCCTCCAGCCTTCCGAGAAGTCTGCTGTGTCTCCGGGGAAGGCTTGGAACACCCCTCGGAAGGCCACGGGACCTCCGAGCCTTTTGAGAAGGCCCGCCCCTTCTCGATTCCCCCCTGGGCTCGCCGCCGATACTCAACAAAACAGCTTCGGTGGGGGCTCCGAAGCAACATCGTCTTGGAATCGCTCCTGGATGGGGCCCACCGTGGCCCCAAGGAGCCCCCAAAGGGCACCCCGGAGGACCCACGGAGGGCCGCAAGAGGCCCCCAAGAGAGCCCCAGGAGGCCCCCAAGAGAGCCCGAGGCAGCCCAAGATGGCGCCAGGACGGCCTGAGAGAGCCTCCACACAACCCTGAGACACGCCCAGACAGCCCAAGAAGCCCCCAGCAGCCCCAAAGAGGACCCCGACCGGGCCCCAAGAGGCCCCCGGGATGCCTCAAGATGGCCCCAGACGGCCCCAACAGCCCCCAGGCTAGCCTCGAAAGATCACGAGGACCCCTCCCTTCTTCGACGTCCTTTTCGTCGGGTTCCTTACCATCCTCCTTCGTCGTCGTCGTCCGTCTCTTCTTTTCCTCCTCCCCCTCCGCTTTGTTCCTCCTTGTACTCGTTCTCCTCCATCTCTTCCTGTCGGAAGGCCGAAAAGAAGCAAATGCGAAATTCCGTCAAAAACCTGCGGAAAATCAATGACTTTGGCCTCTTCGGGCCTTCCTGGAAGCCCTCTTGGAGGCCTCTTGGGCCGTCTTGGAGGCCTCTGGGGGCCTCTGGGGCTGTCTTGGGCCATCTTAGAGTGGTGGGCTCCTGGCCCGTCTGGCGCCGTCGGAAGCTGTCTTGGGGGCCTCTCTGGGCCGACTGGGGGCCGCCATCATCATGATGTTCTTGCTTCTTACGATCCCAATGGACAAAATTGGCACTTCCCGTTCTTGTCCGATCCAGTTTGCCGCAAACACCTTGATATCAGTCTCAGGCGGAAGCTTGATTCCGCAAGGGCGCATCCCTCCGCACGCGTAGCTGCTGGAAAACATTGAAAGAAGTGCACGCTGCGCCAAGGCGATAGCCACGTTTCGAAGACGGACCGCCCTCCATACATACAACGATTGGAAACGTTTGAAGCGGATATGCGCGGCACTGAATGGAGAGCCGCTTTTTTAAGCACCATCTGCTCTCTCTCTCTCTCTCTCTCTCTCTTCTGGCAGCTGGATCCGCGGAGATACTCAAATTCGTTAGATTTGAATACAAGTGGGACCTATCAGGCTCCAGGATAGAATATGTAAGAAAGTCTGGAGCCGAATGCCGACGAGGAAGCGTTATTGAAAAGCGAAGGGATGGATGACGACGAGAGGCGGCAGCCGTATCAGCAGGAGAAGGAGCGTGGGGGTTAGAAGAGATCGTGGCAACTCAAGCTTGCACGCCCCTGTGCCTCCACGTGCTGCTCGACGGCAGGCTCGACCATGAAAGGAAAGGCACTCCCAAGCTTATTCAGAAGCTCGCGCACTAGCAGGCCAAGCACGTTCCGGCAGCCTGGCCAGCGGTCAAACGCCAGCTCGGAGAGGCACTGAGTGAATTCTGCGGCTGCTTGCACGACCTCGGCTGGGCTGCGGTCGGACTTAGGCATAAGAATGACGCATGACAACTGGAATTCAGAATACTTTGTCATCGGCTCCGCCGTGGCCGTGTATGTCGCGCACAGGTGCGCTGCAGGATTGCCGTTGGTCTGTGTAGCCCGCAGATGGGCGAGTGCCTCCCCACCAAAGGCCCACAACATAGGGCGGCGGTTGCAAACGCCAGCCCCCTGCCAAGAGAAGACGCCAAATACGAGAAAGACAACTGAAGGGTTACATGGGTAGCACACCTATAGGCTATAGCAGGACTGTAGTGCACGGCACGACGGCTGAAGTGAGACCACACCAACCGCGCATATCCCATCATCACCACAAACCTCCCCTGCCCTCAGACCGTATGTGAACAACATGTGTACATGCGGGAGGGCTGGCGTGTAAATGAAGACAAGCACGCGTGCACACGCGTGGGCGCGTGCGTGCGCGTATGCATGCGCGCGTCTGTGTGTGCACGTGCCTCTAACATCGTCGCCCTCTAGCGGCCAAGTGGTGCAAATATGGCAGGATAACCCTGATCAGGATCATGATCACATATTCATCGCTGTCGCTACACTGCGACCATTCATCCATCGATTGGCAAATCGGTGCTCATCCAGCACTCCCCGATTCCCATCCTGCCCAACCTACTCACGTTGAGGCGACGACAAAAAATACAGACCGCTGCTCCGCCCACTGTAAGAAGAGTTTCTCTGGCTGGCTCTGACAAGGCATGCACGTGAGCAGCACCACGGCCAGGCGCAACAGCTTGGGATCTGCCACGAGGCTCGGAGAAGATGTATCAGCCTGTGCAAGCGGCACGGGGTTCCACACTCTCAGCCCCTGTCTAGACACCGCCAGGTCGAAGGCGCACAGGATGTCCTGCGGCCCGCAAATAAGAATACCCCTGAAACCGCACGTGGTCACACGCGCTCCTCCCTACCAGATTATGGTCAGAAGATGTTCCCAAGCACATCACATGTATCATCTTGGCAAGTTTGTCGAGCCAACTCCGGCCGTGACGACAGGAATTATGGTATCCCCCATCAAAAGACGAACGACTGAACAATGCGGGGCCAAACGCCAGCCACGAACTCAGCCTTTCTTCGTTTTCAAGCAGGCCATAAAACTGGCACAGAGCGCCACTCTGCGACGGTCAACGTCAGGCACACGGTCGGGCGAGAAGAGTGGAATGGAGAGGGCAAGCGGTAGTGGAAAGGCGAGAAGGCCCCAGGAAGTTCGGACGCAGCAGATGCAGCGATGCGGGGAGAGCCGTCCGACAGAGAGCGACGATGCCGCCGCTTTGGCAAGACCTTCAGATGCTTATTGGGTGGCCTGGGTGATTGTTTCTTCCATCAGAGTGACAGGTCGGCACTCGCCAGCGAGGCGGACGGTTCCAGCACGGTGGAAGATCTCAGGGTGCATCCTGGGAGCGGGCTTTCAGGTTCCCATTCGTCCTGGGGGCTAGCTGCAAACACACTATTGCCTTGGGCCTCGCCAGACCCCCCCCCCTCAGTCCAAAGCCTCAGGCCGCCAATGAGGTCCCCGAGGAGGCAAGGCGGTAATGCTGGCAGAGGCCTCCCAAAGGCGTCCCCCAGAAATCAGTGGCAGCGGGGATCGGGCGGGCCGTTCTCATCGGCCGTCCTCGGCTTCCACCCACTGCCGCCACCTTCGGTAAAGCTGCCACCTTGCGGGGGCCGGAAGCGTTCGGCGCATGAGACAGGGGCACGCAAGTGGCGCGAGACGGACGACGGAGAAGCAAATGCAATCAGAGGTTGCACCTCGCCGAAGCCGCAGGGCGCTGACGCTGGCCCAGTAAAACGGTTTGGTCACGCTCGCTCGACTAGGCCCAGTCTGCCCAGTGCCTGCTCCCTCCCCACAGCTTAGCCCTTTCCCCTTCATCATCCCGCTCGCCTACACTTCCCCTCCCACCTCCCCCTCCCCCTCCCACTGCCCCATCCCCCTCCCCCTCCCCATTCCCATCCCCCTCCTGCCCATCCCCCTGACTCCGCCTCGCTCGTTCGGCCTCGTCCTCCTCCCTCCCTCATCCTCGCCGCTGAGCCCTGAGAGGCGCCAGGTGTGCAGGAGAGCACTGGAGCAGAAGCAGATACGATGACGAGCACGGCAAGCTCCTGCCATAATGGTGTGGGCTTCTGTTTCGTTCCCGCGTGAACCGTCCAATAGATCGAACGATATCGGCTGTCAGGAGTCCACGGAGGCCGTCGGAAGGCCTGCAACCCTGGACGCCCGCGCCCGCACTGCTGACATGCGCCGAGACGGCCCGAACCTGCCGGAACATCCTCCGCCTCCGTGCCGTGGGTCCTTAGAGGAGTGTCCTCAACCCGCCCCCGCGCCAGCGGCACGCTGGGGCGTGTCGTAATGCCTGCCGGTTGTCTGTGGTCGAGCCCGTGTACTCTGCTGAATCCGAAAAATCAGACCCCACCCAGGGGTTTTGCTGTCGGCGCCCTTCCTGGCCTCCAAACGCCTTCACGACAGCCACAGAAGTCCACGCGGACACCCAGACACGGCTGCAGCACGCCCGAGGGCCATCCAAAGACAGCCCAAAACGAGCCTCCAAGTACCCCAAGATCGCACCACGATGCCCCAAGAAGCCCCAAGAAGCCTCCACGATGAGCCCGAAGAGAACTTCAGCTAGGCCGTAAGATGTGAAAAGCTTGGAAAACCCAGGTGAGGACGTCAACATGTGTTGTTCCAAAGGTGCTCAGGCTTCGGGTCACTTTGAATAAGATTCAGACAGCCCCAGGAAGCCCACGAGACATCCCAAGACTGCCCCAAGATAGTCCAACAGAGCCTCTTCGGGAGGGTTCGGTAGAAACATGGCGCCCAAGACGGTCCCGAAACCCCCGAGAGGCCCCTATGAGACCCCAAAAGGCCCCAAAGAGGACCCCACGAGGCCCCCAAAGAGGCCCCCAAGATGCCCCAGAGAAGCCCTCAAGAAGCCTCCAAGATGCAGTCAATAGGGAGGAGGGAGGATTGGAAAGAGGGGGAGGAGGAAGAAGGAATAAAGAAAGACGAGGCGAACGAGGATCCAAGTCACGGAAACTACTGGCCGCTCGCGGGCGCTCTGGCGCGCTCATGAAGAACACCACATGAGTTTTCTAGAGGCCCAGCGAGAGTGGTTGGGAACAACATCCTCCAAAATGCCCGAAGATTGTCCCCAGGGTTCGTGCTGGAACCCTCTTGGACCGTCTCGGAAGCTTTCGAGGCCTGCCTATGATGACAAAACCACTGAAAACGCATTGCCCTTGCACGATTCAAGCACTCTCGGCTGTCTTGACCCCCAAGGTTGCCCCAAGACAGACCCCAAGTACCCAAAAGGCACGCAGACGGCCCAAGAGGAGCCCAAGAAGCCCCCTCAAGAGACATCCAAGAGGCCCCCAAGAGGCCCCAGGAAACCTCCAAGAGGCCCCAAGAAGCCTCCCAAGAGAAACAAAAATAAGGCCTTTAAGAGACCACCTGTCCACGCCCCAAGCCCGAGGGCGGGAGAGGCCAAAGGCCCCCAGATTACTTCCACCATCGCCTCTTCTATCGGCTTCCTTCTCGGGTAATAGCCAGGGCCACAAGAGACGGCAGGACGTATGTACTCATTCTGTTGAGGCTCTCGTCGAACACCAGCCGCTGGGAGGGGCCCGCGCCGTAATCATATAGACGGCGAAATCAGTCCTGATCACAAAATCGGACGACTTCACACGAACGTCGGGTTCTGCCGCGCCCGCCTGCGCTGGATGGTGCTGGCCGCCGCATGGATCCACCTGCCGTGCTCGAAGACGCTTCGCCCTCTGAGTCGAATTGCCGGTCGGACCTCTGGGAGAGGGGGCTGGCAAGGCTTCTTTGATGCTGTCAGCGAGCGGGAGAAGGAAACTCGCCTAGGGTTCACGGCACGCGCTGATTCGACGAAGCTGGCGGGACTTCAGAGAGTTCCCTTGCTTCCTGCGGGCATCTTGTCTACACCCTAAAACCAATTGAATATCTTTTCTGGGGTGACCGTGCGCCACCTCAGCCAGAGTCACGCAAACTCCAGTGAGAATTTACACTTGCTCGAAATGTCACGGGCCTGGTATCACATCATCGTCCTCGTCCTCCTCCTCCTCCTCCTCCTCCTCCTCCTCCTCCTCCTCCTCCTCCTCCTCCTCCTCCTCCTCCTCCTCCCCCTCCCTCATTTTCTTCTCCTTATTATTCCTCCCCTCCCTCCCCGCGCCGTTCGCCCGCCTCGGAAGGGCAGGCCCTAGGGGAGGCGCTCGAGATAGCGAAGGCCACCGTCGAGCCCCACGAGGCCGGCCCCCCTCCCCCTCCTCCCCGTTCTCTGGACTTGAAAGGCTGCAGGGCAGCTGGCCCGGACAGCGGCTGACACAGCCGCCGCCACAGAGCGAAGGCTGAAGCGCATCGCCCCACATGGCGCGGTTCATAAGCATTCAAAGTATGATAACTGTTGGTCCCCGGCGGTCCCAAGCGCTCCCAAGCGCTCCCAAGCGCTCCCTGGCGCTCCCAGGCGCTCCCCAGCACTCCCAGGCGCTCCCAAGCACTCCCGGACGCTCCTCGGCGCTCCCAAGTGCTCCCCGGCACTCCCCGGCGCTCCCAGGCGCTCCCAAGCGCTCCCCGGCGCTCCCAGGCGTTCCCAGGCGCTCGCAAGCGCTCCCAGGCGCGCCTCAGCGCTCCCAGGCGCTCCCAGGCGCGCTCCCAGTCTCTGTCTTGTTGTCCGTCCTGGGGCCTCCCCACGGGTTTTCCAAATAGGGCAGCAGTCTGAGCTCACGTTGACCGTCATGCCATCGCTGCACCACCTTCCAGCTCGCGGAGCTTCGAAGGACAGGCATCCTTCCCAAGGAAAATACCCGCCCTATGACCTTGACGCAGATGTGGCCGTGGTTCCACAGGAAGGAGTCCCGCAAATGGCTGGGAGTCAGCAGAGCAGCGCTGGTGCCCGCGGCCTCCACAAGCAATTGGAACCCGCAAGTCACCGCAGCGCCGAACCAGGCCAAAGTGGCATACTCCTGGCGGGTGCAAAACTGTCGTCAGATTAGCTATCAGTGTGTATTGCATGTGTGTGTGTGTGCTCTCTCTTTCTCTCTCTCTCAGTCTCTCTCTCTCTCTCTCTCCTTCTCTCTATCTCTCTCATTCTCTCTCTCTCTCTCTCTCTCTCTCTCTCTCTCTATCTCGCTATATTATTATGCTATCTCTCTAAAACTATAATTATATATACATGATATATCTAGATGTGAATGCATATACATATACATAACATATATATATATAAAATGTATAACCAGTGGTATGGGTGTATGTAAGTATGTATGTATGTATGTACGTATGTATAAATAAATATAGGTGTACGTGTGTGCCCCTCCCCTCATAAACATGTACTTATGTAGATGCGAACAAACATGCATGCATATAAGCATAAACAAAGTCAGCAATACATACCTACAAACATGAAAATGCACATACAAACATACGTACTAATATACATGCTTACATACAGACATGCACGCATACACATACATGCATACCTGCATGCATACATACACACACATACTTACAAACATACATACACACTGACAGGCATATATACATACATGTATACACACAATGTAGTATATACGTGCATTCATACATACAGCCAGACAGACACGCACAGACAGACAGGCAGACAGACAGACAGACAAACATGCACGCATGCATGCATGCACATAACCATACATACATACATGTACACCTGCATGTACAACGTACGTACGTACGTACATGCATGCACCCATACAAACATTCATACACACGTACATGCATGCATGCATAGATACATGCATGCATGCATGCATGCATGCATACATGCGTACAAGCGTCCGTAAATATATAGATAAATACATACATACATACGTTCAAACATTGGTGAGATTTGTTCTCGGGATGCTCGCCTGCAAAGATGAGCCGAAACGTCAATGGCATACACCACATCATGATATCAAAATACTCTCTGAGCACAATCATAGCAGGGGACTGTGGGTTTATGCAGCCCCCTTCCTGCCGCCCAGCTCCTTTCTCCAGGCAAGACTCAAGCCCATGCAAAACATAGCCCGATCTTAACAGCACAAATGTTACAAGATCAATTCGAGCACTCGGACGAGCCCTGAGCAAGCACTAACCGTCGCCACCGACCGCAGCCCGTCCAAGGCAAAAGATGGCGTGGAGGCTGAAGAACTGCAGGCCAAAATGGCCGCTGTCATCGACGGGCGCCCTCGACCTTCGCCTGGAGGCCACTCGAGAAGGGCGCATCCGAGAGCTCAACATTCATCATGATCAAAGCTCGCAGCATCGCTGTCTGATCTAAGAACTTGGTGCCCAGGCCCGCAGGGTTGGATGTGCCCGGGACCTTGGAAAGCTGAAAGCGGTCGTCGCGGAGGGCCCGCTGGACCCACAGCGTCGGCGTCTCGAGGTGACGAACCTCGCCGCAGACTCGGCGCTGCACGATGCCGAGGGCCGCGGCCAAATCACTCCATACTCGAAGGCCCAGCTCACGACCGAACCCTCGACAATGCCGATGGCCCTGCTGGCCGCAGGCACACAGCCATAGAACTCCGCCTCGCCTGAGCTCATGGCGATCGGGATCTGGGTCGTTGAGGCCGTCACGATCAGATGCTGGCCACGCTTGATCACGATCGAACTGGTGCTCCTCCTGGCGATCGGGCAACCAGCCCAGTCCGTGCCAGAGCAGATGTCCAGGAAGGCGGGCCCCCTCTGGCGGCCCCACCTCCACACAGCACGCGGGGCTCCCACGAGGAAGCGCCCAGCACGCTTCAGAAGTCTACAATAACGCTCCATCTACATTAGCTTCTGCATGCCACGGGCGCACTCCTTTGCGGCGAACTGCAGCTCCGGGCGGTCGAGCGCGAGGTATCCCAGCCTCATGAGTGCACTGCGGTACTCGGCCGCCTCGGACTCGGGCAGCTCACGCTCGACCTCAGGCGTCAAGTTCTGACTCACACCGGGCGTGCCCAATGAGTCCGTGTCAGACGTCATGCCCAGCTGCGCTTGGAGGATCTGCGCGTGCCTGGGGCCCGCCTCGCACTCGATGGCCTCGCCGCCCTGGCGCCACCGGTCTCGCCAGCACAGGACCCTGTTGAGACGCGTGATCTCCTTCAGGGCGGTCGGCGCTGGCCCGAGCACGCCACGATCCTTCACGATGAACTTCGCGGTCAGCACCTCGCGGATCGCCTCCATCTCGTTGCGGGAGCCCTCGAGCACGAAGTCGTCGCCGCGGTGGAAGAAGCCCACCTGCTTGTCCGTGTGGTAATAGATGCACTGGGAGAAGGCCGACTGGTCGCAGCCAGCGACGACGACTGTCTCGGAGGTCGTCAGCTCGAAGTTCTGGCCCGCGTCGCGCGCCCCGTAGAGAGCCATCATCAAGAGTCCGCACTTGCATGCCGCCTGCGACATCGGGTCCTCGCCTGGGAGCCCGATGTAAAGTGCCCTCCTGATCTCGCAGCGCGGGCGAGCCCTTGAGACGTCCAGGATGCGCGGGACGCGGCCCTCAGCTGGGTCGCTCGACATCACCAAGCTGCTCACGAGCCGGAGGCACTCCAGCGGCGGCGTCGCTGCAAACACTGCGCCGACGTCATCCCCAGCAATGATGCTCTGCGCCTTGGTCTCCTGCACGACGAGACGCGACCTGCAGTCGGGCTGGCTCGAGTCACCCTTGTCGATGTCGACCCGGCGTACACTGAGCGGCCTGCGGCCAAGCTAGCGATAGCAGTCCTCGTCACTCGCGTAGGTCCACGCACCGAGCTGGGCCACGAAGTCCATCCATCTCCAATCACCTCGCTGCGTTGACATTCTCGGCGCCCAGCGGCACCCCCGCGAGATCGCCATGGAACTCGGTCTTCAAGGTGTCGCGCCAGCGCCCCGTGAAGTCCTTCAAGCCGATCTCCTCGTCGCCCACGTTCGGTCCCACATCGAGGGCCGATAGAATGAGCACCGCCTTATTCGAGAGGTCTGGCGGAGACCACGTAGCATGGCTCGGAGGTGGTTCGTCGGGCACCTCTCCGAAACGCGCACGCCCCGGCTAACGACGGGGGAGCGCTCGTGCCGAGGGCCAACCCCTGCGTCGTTCGGGCAGCGCCTGCAAACCTCAGCCAACACCTCCATGCTGTTGCTCACCCACTCTGCCGTCTTCTCGGCGAGCCCGCCGCGGCGCGCGCGCGAGGGGGCACGAACCCGGACGCGCGCGGCCCCCTCGCCCGACCACCACGCCAGGGAGGGCCATCACGTTCTCCACGACACGCAGGCCCCAGGCGCCGGCGCCCCAGGGGCGATCGCGAAGGAACGTTCGACCACTCACGACCTGCAGCGCGCACAGCTCCATCACAAACCTCAGCTGCTCGAACCCCATGGCATAGGCCTGGCGCTGCTTCTCGGAATCCTCGCTCAGGTACTTCAGCATGGAGAACGGAGCGCAGCGAGGGCTACCCAGGAGGAAGCACGGCTGGTAGTGCTCAACCAGCTCGCGGCGCTGCTGCCGTCGGCGGCGGTCGGACAAGTCCCAGCCGACCCGATGTCGAACGAGCCGCCGTGGATCAGCCCGAAGAGCGGCGCAAAGCCATCGAGCTGGTTCGGGCAGAACACCTCCACCACGTCAACCTTGCGCCCGCTGTAGCCGAGCGAGAGCAGCAGCGCCCCTCGATCTCCTCCTGCAGATTGCCGTCGCCCGGGCCTGGAGGAGCTGGGGCCATGTCCACGTCCGCGGCTGGCGCGGCAGCTGGCGCTGGCGCCATTGGGGCCGGCCCACCGCTGCCCGACGAACCGCGCTCCGCCACCCCCGCGCCGTCGCTTCCGATCTCGGGCCTCCTCGAGCCTCTGCCTCGCAGCGTCGCCCTCGAGCATCGCCTGCTCGACCCGAGCACGGCACTCGGCAGAGTGAGCCTGCGCCCGGAAACCGAGGAAGATCGCGGCACAGCCGTAGCAGTTAGGAATAGCGCCATACTTCGCAATCTCGACGCCCCCCCCGACGTAGACGGCTCGCGGCCTGGCACTCAGCCGCGCGCCTCGAGGAGCCCAAGGCGGGGGGCCCACTCCATGAGGGACCGGCGGCACTGGAGCGCCGGCCGGCGCGACTGGCGGCACCGGAGCCCCAGCTGGCACAGCCGGCCCTGGCACGCGGATCTCGATGGCCATCGGCACCTCGTCAATAGCCGCATGTGCCGGCACAGGCGCCAACGGCTTCCCCACTAGAACGTTCAACAGGTCCTTGTCGCCTCTCTGGTCGAGATGCAGTCGCTTGAAGCCCCTAGCACGCAGCGCGCCGAGCCCCGCGCGCAGCATGGGCCCGAGGTAGAGCGCGAGAGGAACTTGTCCTCGATGCCGACCTTCCGCGCGCCCCCTGGGAGGCGCAGCACCTTCTCCGAGAAGCAAGCGAGATCCTTGCCGAAGGCCCGGCCGCGCCTGAGCTCCCACGCGGCCCGACCATCAGCACCACGCCTGCCCAAATTGATCGACATCGCCGCGTACTCGACCATCCACGGGATCACCGGGTCGTCGGCACCGACGCTCACGCCGTGGAGGTCGTCGACCTGCGCCCTCGCGGTCCTGATCTTGGCCTCTGCCTCGCGCACAGCGTGCTCGGCGAGGCCATTGCCCCGGGAATCGCGGACCACGCTCTCCTCGGGGACCGTCTCGACGCCATGGCCCTCCTTGAGCGCAGCTGCGACGCGGGTCTTCAAGGCGACGACGGAAGCCTCACCATCCGAACGGAAGACGAAGCGCTTGTGGCCAGCCAACGCCAGCCTCTTCGACTACGACTTCTCAGGCCAAGGACGCTGCACGCTCTTGGCCCGCACCATGGACGCGTGGAACCAGCGCTGCTTGGACCCCTTGCTAATCCGCATCGTCGCCCCGTCCTCACTCGCGCCAAAGTAGCCGCAGACGATGCCGACCACTGCGAGAGCAGCCTCCTGGCGGTCCGCGGCGCGGCGGCCCGCTGACAGGGCCCCGCCGAGGACGCACTCCCAGCACCACGCCCTGCAGGGCTCGCGCAGCACCTCATGCGCGGCTCGCTCGGCCGCCGCCCGGGCTGCTGGCCCCTTCGCCGGTCGCGCCGGGGGGCCCTCAGCGACCTCCTCGTGCACCGGACCTGGCTGGCCAGCCTCAACCCTCGGGAGGTCCTGGGCCCGCCCCCTCCACGGGGCAGACCTCTGGCACGCACGGGCCGACGTGCACGTCGATCTCGCAGACCTTGTTCCTGCGGCAGAACTTCACGACATCCCCGCTGGTCTCGTGGCGGGCGTAGCTGACATCTCGCCCGCCCTCGGAGTCGAAGACGAGCGGATGGCCCGCGTCGACCATCTCCGCGACACCCAGCAACGGCTCGCTGACGTCCGCCACCCTGAACTTGGCGGCGCGTGCCTGGGACGTCCCAGGCATCGTCTCCACGAGGAGCCTCTCGCCCTCGTCAGCCACGCAGTGGCCGGAGGCGGTCTTGTAGGCGACCGCCCCCGCAGGACTCTCCCGCACAGGGTAGTCCGCACACGGGCAACGCGGCAGCACAGAGGCCGCTGCGCACGAGTCGATGCCCACACGCAAGACGCCGTCAAGCTCGACCTCCTCCGCATCCGAGTTGCCGTGGATCATGTTCACGTCCAGGACCGCACCGATCGCGGAGTCGACACCGCCCACCATCGCAGGCCCCGGGTCGTTCAGGGTGAAGGAGTGGAGGTGCGCGAACGGGTGGCTAACCTGCTCGCTGTCGTCATTGAAGTAGAGCGCCGCAATCTGCCGAGACGCTCCACTCGTCGAAGACAATACTCGACCTACTCTCGCGGTCGCAGCTGTCGAGGTCGAGGCAGCTGACAAAGGCGCCGATGGAGCCGGCCCGATCGCACCGGGGTCCATTCCAAGCCCATGATGTTGGTTCACGCGCGACAAGGCCTGCTCCATGCTCGCCAGCGTGCCAGCTCCTTCTCTTGCAGGGGCACTCTCGTCGAGCGCGGCCACGACCGCCGCAGCCCCAGCAGAGAGGCTCTGCCCGTGGCCCTTGACTCCGCTGGCCTTGCTCTTGCCGTCAGACTTGGCATTCCCCTTACCGTCGCTCCTACCCTTGCCTTTGCCGTCGCCCTTGGTCTTGCCCTCGCCGCCACTCCTGCCCTTGCCTTTGCCGCCCTTGGCGAAGACGCTCAGGTCCATCGGCACGGGGACCGGGGCGATCGCACTCTGGGCCCTGCGGATGTCCGCGAACTCTCGGCGGAAGTCCTGCCACTCCACATGCCGGGTCGCATTGAGCAAGAGGTGTTGCCGCAGGGGCCCTTCTTCCATCCGGCGCAGCACAATACCAATCCTCATCCAAGCCGAGAGTGAGGGTCTCGCCACGGCGCTGCTCGTATCGGATCAGCTCTCGCTCGAACAATGCTAGCCTGTCCTCGACGTCACCAGCGAACGCGAAATTCAGTAGGTTGAACAACTGGCCAGCGATCCGAGATCGAGCATTCCGCTCATAGTACTCAACGAGCTTGCGCCACGCCTGGAAGCCCTCATTGTCGCCGCTATTGACGATGGTGGTCACGGGATGCTGGCGGCAGAGGAGGAGGAGGGTGTAGCACAGCTTCTGCGATGCCCTCTGGAGCGACTCCTCGGCTAGGCCGTTTATGACCACAGAGATCGCGTCGGTACTCTCAGCCAGACTCATCCAGATCACTAGGCCTGGAATCACAACTGCACAGCACGCCCTGAAGATGGCCTTCCATGCTCTTCTCCCGTGAACACGTCTGGTTTGCCAAGCGTCCGCATATTCACCGGGGAGCCCACTCGATGCGCAGCAGCGGCAGCCAGTGGTTGGGCCCCGCCAGCTGCAGCTCGGCCAATGCACTGCACCTCGGCCGTCAGTTCGTTTTTTCTATTATGTCGGTTCTGGTGCTTCTGCGTCATGGCCTGCACTGCCCTCTCCAACTGCTGGACTCTCTCTTCCGTCGCCATCTCAGCGACTGCGCCCTGATGGAGGCTTGAGCGCCGTGAAGAGCTCCAGATGGTTGCCGAGAGCTGACAGCCCGTACTATCCGTCGCCAGCCGTGGCTGGCCAAGTAGATCCACTCCTCGTTCTCCGGCACACCTGGCACGTGAGCGGCACCCGCGTTCGCGAGGCCGGGAGCCGCGGAACCCCCGCTCGCCGACATCGGCCGGGACCACGGCTCCGCTACCAGGTGAGATGTTTCTCGGGGTGCTTGCCTGCAAAGATGAGCCGAAACGTCAATTGCGTACACCACATCATGATATCCAAATATTCTCTGAGCACAATCATAGCAGGGGACAGTGGGTTTAGGCAAACATACATGCATGCAGACATGCATAAATGCACACATGCGTGCATGCAGACATACATGCATGCATGCATACATACACACAGACATACATGCATACACACACATACGTACACAGATACATACTAGAACCATCGCGCGCTTCGCGCGCGCTCAAGTTCCAGCAAGCTTGAAGGATAGCGCGTAGCGGAGGGAAGAAGAGAGGTCAGCAGTGGCAGGCAACCTGGTCGAATTAGCCACTATTGCGTTCTTTGTCCGTCGTCATTCGTCTGTCGTCTGTCGTCATCGCCACCCTCGTCGCCGTTGTCTGCGTCGTCGTCTGTCGTCCGAGGCGCTCTTCGTAGCCAAGGCTGGCTTCGTCTCGAAATTCTTGTCCAAACGCACCCCTGGGCATCGCAGTGGTTGTTTTGCATCTATCTTGGGCTGCCTGGGAAGCCTTTTGGGCGTCTCGGGAGCGTCGGGGGGGGTCTTGCGAGTTACGTAGGGCTTCCTTGTGGGCTTCCCGGAGCCAAGGCCTGGAAATGTCCGTTCGGCCCCCGTCTGGACCGCTGGGCTCTTGGGGGCCTCTTTCCAGCCTCCTGGATGCTGCTTGGGGCCGCTTGGGGGCCTCTTGGGAGCCTCTTGGGCTCTCTTGGGGGCCTCTTGGGACCTCCTCGCAGCATCCCAGACTGCTTCCTGAAGTCGTCATGGGACCTTCCTGGCATGTCTTCGGGGCCTCTTAGAAAAAGTTGTGAAACCTTTTGGGTGCCATCTTGTGGCCTCTTGGAGCCTCTTTTGGGCTTCTTGGGGTCCTCTTGGGGCCTCTTGGGGGCCTCTTGGGGCCTCTTGGGGGCTTCCTGGGGGCCTCTTGGGGCCTCTTGGGGGCTTGGGGCGGAGAGCTAGAATTTTCAGTTCGCGTTCCCTCTCTTGGGCCCCTCTTGGGGCCTTCTTGGGGCCCTCTTGGAGCATCCTGGGAGCCTCTGGGGCCGTCTCGGGGCTCTCTTGGGCCGTCTTGGGACCCTCTTGGGGTCGTCTTGGAGCCCTCTTCGGAGCCTGCGGAGCAGTCTTGGGGGCCTCTTGGGCCGTCTTGGACGCTGTGAAAGCCAAAGATGTACATATGCGAAAATACACGTTTCCCAAACGAATTCTAGACGCTTCGCGTATCCCCACCAGCCCGTCCAGAAATGAGCCCCAGGGGAGTGGAGGTGATGAGGGAAGCGGGGGAGCATGCAGAAGAACAAAGAGCGGGTTAAGCCGCCATACGCTCCAAGAGGGGGAGGATGTAGGAGGAGTCGTCGTCGTCGGAGTAGGAGGAGGAAGACGAGGAGCAGGAGGAGGAGCAGGAGGAGGAGGGGGAGGAGGAGGAGGAGGAGGAGGAGGAGGAAGATGAGGAGGAGGAGATGGAGGAGGTTGAGGACGAGGAGGACGAGAAGGAGGAGGAGGAGGAGGAGAAGGAGGAGGAGGAGGAGGGGGAGGGGGAGGAGGGAGGAGGGAGAAAAAGAGGAGGAGGAGGAGGACAATGGCGAGCTTGGGGGCCTCTTGGGCCGTCTTTGGGGCCTCTTGGCGGTCCCGGAGGCCTCTTGCGTATCTCGGGGAGCTTCTTGTGGCCTTTTGGGAGTCTCTTGGAGGCCTCTTGGAGGCTTCTTGGGGGCCTCTTGGGGCCTCTTGGGGCATTCTTGGGGCGCTCTTGGGGCGCTCTTGGGAGCCTTCGGGGCGCTCTTGGGGCCATATTGGAGGAGATCTATCAAAGAAGGGGGGGTTGCTTATTAGCGTTGCCCCTCTAGAGTGCCTCGAATCGCTTCTTGGGCCTTCCTAGAGGCCAAAATCCGTCCAAAACCTAAGGAAAATCAATTTGTTTTGTGCTTTCTCGCCTTTTCGCTCTTGGAGCCGTCTTGGGCCATCTTGGGAGCATCTTGGGGCCTCTTGGGGGTCTCTTGGGAGCCTCTTGGGGGCATCTTGGGGGCCTCTTGGGGCCTCTTGGGGCCCTCTTGGGGCGCTCTTGGGGCGCTCTTGGGAGCCTTCGGGGCGCTCTTGGGGCCATCTTGGAGGAGATCGATCAAAGAAGGGAGGGTCGTATATTAGCGCTGCCCCTCTAGAGTGCCTCGAATCGCCTCTTGGGCCCTTCTTGAGGCCAAAATCCGTCCAAAACCTAATGAAAATCAATGTTGTTTGCTTTCTCGCCTTTTCGCTCTTGGAGCCGTCTTGGGCCATCTTGGGAGCATCTTGGGGCCTCTTGGGGGTCTCTTGGGAGCTTCTTGGAGGCATCTTGGGGGCCTCTTGGGGCCTCTTGGGGCTCTCTTGGGGCGCTCTTGGGGCGCTCTTGGGAGCCTTCGGGGCGCTCTTGGGGCCATCTTGGAGGAGATCTATCAAAGAAGGGGGGGTCCCCAATTAGCCCCGCCCCTCCAGAGTGCCTCGAGTCGTCTCTTGGGCCCCCCCCGAGAGGCCAAAATCCGTCCAAAACCTAAGGAAAATCAATGTTTTGTGTTTTCTCGCTTTTTCGCTCTTGGAGCCGTCTTGGGCCATCTTGAACTCTCTTGGGGCCTCTTGGGGGTCTCTTGGCAGCCTCTTAGAGGCTTCTTGGGGGCCTCTTGGGGTCTCTCGGAGCCCTCTTGGGGCGCTCTTGGGGCGCTCTTGGGAGCCTTCGGGGCGCTCTTGGGGCCATCTTGGAGGAGATCTATCAAAGAAGGGGGGAGCTCCAATTAGGGTTGCCCCTCTAGAGTGCCTCGAAGCGCCTCTTGGGCCCCCCCAAGAGGCCAAAATCCTTCCAAAACCTAGGTAGAATCAATGTTTTGTGCTTTCTCGCTTTTTCGCTCTTGGAGCCGTCTTGAGCCATCTTGGGCGCCCTGACACCTCGCGAGACGCCTCGTCCAGGTCAGTGGGGAGGGGTAAGGGGAGGGGTAAACCCCTCCCCGAAGGGAAAGAAGGGGGGTTGGCAGAGGAAACTCCCTAGACCACCTACGCCCTAAAGGGCTGGTGGGATTGTGCCTCTTGGGTCCCTCCTGGGGGCCTCCTGGAGGCCTCTTGGGAGCCTCCTGGGGGCCTCTTGGGGGCCTCTTGGAGCCTCCTGGGGACCTCTTGGGGCCTCCTGGGGACCTCTTGGGGCCTCCTGGGGGCCTATGGGGCAGAAAGCTCGGAATTTGAATATGGCCGTGCACCTCTGGGACCCCTCTGGGGCTCGTCCTGGGGCTCCCTTGGGCTGTCTTGGGGGGCGTCTTGGGGCCGTCTTGGGAACTCTGGGGGTCGTCTTGGAGCGCTCTTGGGAGCATGTGGGGCAGTCTTGGGGGCCTCTTGGGCCGTCTTGGACGCTGTGAAAGCCAAAGATGTACATATGCGAAAATACACGTTTCCCAAACGAATTGTGCCTCTTGGGTCCCTCCTGGGGGCCTCCTGGAGGCCTCTTGGGAGCCTCCTGGGGGCCTCTTGGGGGCCTCTTGGAGCCTCCTGGGGACCTCTTGGGGCCTCCTGGGGACCTCTTGGGGCCTCCTGGGAGCCTCCTTGGGGCCTCTTGGGGGCCTCTTGGAGCCTCCTGGGGACCTCTTGGGGCCTCCTGGGGACCTCTTGGGGCCTCCTGGGAGCCTATGGGGCAGAAAGCTCGGAATTTGAATATGGCCGTGCACCTCTGGGACCCCTCTGAGGCTCGTCCTAGGGCTCTCTTGGGCTGGCTTGGGGGCCTCTCGGGCCGCCTTGGGACCATCTTGGGGTCGTTTTGGAGCCCTCTTGGGAGCCTGTGGGGCAGTCTTGGGGGCCTCTTGGGCGGTCAAGCCAAAGAAATACATATGCGAACACTTATAAGTTTCCCTGAGGGACTGGAGCGAAGTTTGCTTCTTGGGGTCCTCCTCGAGGTCCTCTGGGAGCGTCACAGGAGGCGTCTGGGAGGCCTCTTGGGGTGTCTTGTGGGCCATCTTGTGCATCTCGGAGCGGCCTGTGCATCTTGGAGCGGCCTGTGGGCGTCGCGGGTCCCTCTTGGCGCGTCTTCGGGCTCTCTTGGCGCTTTCTGGTCGCGTTTTGTGGGCTTCTGGGGCCCCCAAAGGGCACACACACACACACTTGTGGTAGAGGTCACGGCCCCAGGAGCCCGGGCCTCGGTGCGCCGCTATATGTATACATACATACATACATACATACATACATACATACATACATACATACATACATGCATGCATGCATGCATGCATGCATGCATGCATGCATGCATGCATAGTTGCATCCATAGCATGTATACATGCATGTAGATACAGACATACATACATACATGCGTACATACATACACACATACATACATACATGCATGCATGCATGCATGCATACATACATACATACATACATACATACATACATGCATACATACATACATGCATGCATCCATGCATGCATGCATACATACATACATACATACGTAGGTACGTACGTACGTACGTGCGTGCGTGCGTGCGTGCATGCATGCATGCATGCATGAATGCAAACATACATGCATACATACATACACGCACGCATACATACATACGTACATACAGACAGACAGACATACAGACAGGCATGCAGGCATGTAGACATACCTGTCATACGAATACATACATACATACATGCATACAGACATGCAGAAAGACAGACAGGCAGACAGACCGACTGACAGACAGACAGGCATGCATGCATGCATTAATGCATACACACATACATGCATACATACATGCATTGCTACATGTACATACACGTACGTACGTAAGTATTTACATATAGACATGCGTGCATAGATGCATCAACGAACACAGATATACACATCTGTATAAATACATACATACATACATACATACATACATACGTACGTACGTACGTACATACATACATACAGACATACATGCATGCATACATACATACACATGCAAGCATGCATGCATGCATGCGTACGAACGTACATACATACATACAGAACTCCCGACCTATCTGCCTACCTACCAACATGCATACATATGATACCGGAGAGAGACCTCTTTTAGGGCTATAGGGCTATGGGACTATCGGGCTGTAGGGCTATAGGTCTGGAACGCTATGGGGCTATAGGCCTATACGGCTGTAGGGCTATAACGCTATAGGGCTGTAGGGCAATAGGGCCATAGAGCTATAGGGCTACAGGGCTGTAGGGCTATAGGGCTACAGGGCTCTAGGGCTGTAGGGCTATAGGGCTATAGGGCTATCGGGCTATAGGACTAAGGCTATAGGACTAAGGCTATAGGGCTATAGGGCTATAGGGCTATAGGGCTATAGGGCTATAGGGCTATAGGGCTATAGACCTACAACGCTATAGGGCTATAGGGCTCTAGGAGTATAAGCCAATAAGGCTATACGGCTATGGAACTATAGGGCTATTTAGCTATAGGGCTATAGGGCTATTACGGCTATAGGGCTATAGGGCTATAGGGCTATAGGGCTAAAAGGATATAGGGCTATAGGGCTATAAGGCTACCGGGCACCCGGGCACCTGGGCACCCGGGCACCCAGGCACCCAGGCACCCGGGCACCCGGCCGGGCCACCGAAATCTGCGGCACACCTCACCTAACCATATGAATCCGCTAGGACCCCTACAGAGGCAAGCTCTGATTGGGGAACATACATAAACATACCTGCATAGCTACGGACAGACGGACGGAAATACATTGAAAAATGCAACACGTGCAGATATATATATATATATATATATATATATAGATATGTGTACCTGCATATCTGGTCGCCAGCGTAGCATGTTCACTCCTCGTACAAACCCTTCACATTCACTACTGGAAAGTACACTTGCATAAGGCCAGCACGTGGACACCAAACATTTCACTCGTCTAGCGATGTGTTCATATACTTATGCGAGTGGACCCAGCATGTGTGTGGAGACCCACACATGTGGACAGGCCGTGGCAGCCCAATCAGCCAAGGCCATAACGGATCCAAGCACCAACGGGCGGCCTGGCCAAACGGGCCATAGCAGTCCAGGCAGCCAAAGTCATCTCGGCCCACGCGGCGATGGCCGACCGCACAAGACAGAGCCAGTTCCTTACAAAATAGGCGAAATAGAATTAGTACAATCACGATTTGAGGAAATGTGGCTTGCTCTCCAGCGCAAACATCCGATCAGCAGGTACCATGAGAGAGAATCACCGATATTCGATGGACATGTTGAAAGTAAACGCCATGACCAGAAACAGCCGTCACAAGAAGAAACCGTGACCAGAAGCACTGCTTGAGGAAAGAAGCTCAACAGGCGAGGGATTGAATTGAAGCAATACGCCGAAGCCAACCTCGAAATCATAAGGCGAAGCCCGCACTCCCGCGCAGCCGTGCGTAAAATTCCGAGCAAACACCTAAAACGCTCAAAGCCTGCTCATGGGACGCGCAAGCCACATTTGACCGTCCACGCAAGACTCGTGCAGAAGACTCATCCGAATCCATCACTGCATCACGCTAAAGAGGCCCACTCTCTCTGCACGTCTGCGAGAAAAGCGAGCCAAGAGCAAGGTATACGGCCTGTTCTTCATCGCTCGCTTGCTCGTTGGCCTGCTTCTCTCATCTACAGGCGGACGAGCTTGTTGTTTCGGCAGCGCCGGCGGCCGCAGGCGCGGGGGCCGTTTCCGGCTGGACAAGCCGGACGCGAGGCGCGAAGACGGGCGGAAAACAAGAGAGCGGCCGAGGAGTAAGAGAAGAAGGAGAGAGTCCGACCGTCGAGAGTCGACGGGGCGTGGACGCGCGGGCGGCCTCGGGCACTGGGAGGCGGCGCACCCAAAAAGGTGCTGGACGAGCAGGCCTCGTTGCCGCCTCGCTGCCGCCCCCTTGGGGCGCTCGTCGAGGCTTCGCCGCGTCGCCGCCTCGCTGCCGCCCTGTCCACGCCCCGTGGCCCGCCGCCGCCCACTCGGTGGGTCCGTCGAGGCTTCGCCGCGCCGCCGCCCACCGTGGGGGCCCCTCGAAATGTCGCCGCCCGTCGCCGCCCGTGGCCGCCGCGTGGCCGCCCCGTGGCCGCCCACCGTGGGCGGTCCCTCGAGGGCCTCGCCGCGTCGCCGCCCGTGTGGCCGCCTCGTCGCCGCCCACCTTGAGGGGTGCGTCGAGGATTGGATCGGCCGCGTCGCCGCCCGTGGCCGCCTCGGTCACGCCCTGCTGCCGCCCGCTTGGGGGGGCGGTCGAGGTTGCGCCGCGTCACCGCCCGTCGCCGCCTCGTTGCCTCCCGCCGCGCCTCCCGGGCGCGTCGAGGCTGCACCCCATAGCTTGTGCCACATCACAGCTGGGGGCACACAGCTTGCACCACACGGCTTGCACAACGTAGATTGCATCAAATAGCCTGCACATCCAGTGCGGTGGTTTATTGTTTGAGGCCCACGCTGGCTAGCATCCTCCAAAGCCCGCAGAAAATAGTTGATGTTGGCCTCTCGGGGCGCTCTTCGGGATCCTCGTGAGGCCCTCGGAATACGTTCGGGCAGGCTTGCAAACATATTAGACAGTACAGTCTTGGCCGCCCTTGGGCCCTCTTGAGAGCATCTTGGGCCGTCGTAGGTCCGCCGTGGCCAGGTTCGGGCCCCCCTCGGGCCGTTTTGGGGCTCTCTTGCCGCTCTCTCGCGCCGCGCTGGGAGTCTCCAGTGCCGCGAGGACCTGGGTGGAACCCACAAGCCCGCCTGGCACACTTGTCCGTTTGTGCGAGTGGACACTCTGGGTTTCTTAATAAGCGTGGGGAGGTACCCCCCAAACGGGGGTCAACCTCGCCTCGTCGTCGCGCTGCGACGGGGGTCGGAGCGCCTTCGGCGCGCGGTGGCTGCCCGCGACGGGGGTCGATGTGGGGCTGCCGGCGGGAGTGACGCCCCCCCGACGCGTATCAAGAAGCTCGGAGTGCACTCTCCGATGCTGGCCAAACAATGGCAGGGATCGGCCTGTGTGCAGACGTCACGTCACCCGAGAGGGGCGGAGGCGGCGGCCGTCCAGGCGCGCGAAGCACTCTTCGGGCGACCCCGCCGCGCGCAGCTCGAGGCAGTCGGCGCGGCTGGCGGAGCCCTCCAGCCGGGCCTCCACCCGGAGGCGCACGCCGAGGCCGCACTCGCCGGGCGGCCTGCGCCGCTCCGGGGGCATAGGCGCGCCTGCCCCGCAGAGCCGGTGGGGAGTGCAGGATTGGAGTGAATGGGCAAAGCCCATCCTATCCTCCTCCTTACCTCCTCCTCCTCCTCCTCCTCCTCCTCCTCCTCCTCCTCCTCCTCCTCCTCCCCCTCCTTCTCCTCTACCACGACTACTACTATTACGACTGCTACCGCAAAATCTACTCATAATAATCATCAACATCTGCAGCAGCATCATCTTCATCATTCCCCTCACTTGCTGAATCGCCCTCATTTGGCCTTCCTCGGGCACCTGCAAGGTCGGTCCCCAGGGGATCCGCTCGACGTCATCCTGGCCAGAGTCTCGAGCCGAGCCCTGCCGTGCCAGCGAAGATGTTCCCCGCCCTGCCCCCTCCCCCCTCAAAAAAATGCACGAGGAGGTCCCCGTATGTGCATGTCACTACCTGGCGCGTCCGTCCGTGACCGTCTGATTGGAAGAATATTAGCCTGTGGCGACTGAACGATTCCTGGCGGCCCCCTTGGAGTGTCCAGATGCGACGCCTGCTACATCGTGGGCTCTGACACGAGAGGGATCGGGGGTGCCTAAACCAGCGCTTCATCTGATTTATTCGAAACGTGCTGGCGATCTGCTCCGAAAGCAAAACGGTCCCAGCCACGAAACGAGCAAACCGCCTGAGACATCCCCATTAATCTGGCCGCGAACTGGCGAAGGCCACACCCCCTGGCGCCCTCCCCCCCTCCTTGCAGCGCTGAAACAAGCGCCTCGCTCTGGACACCCTCACCTTTGTAAGCAGAGAAGTCCCAGCCACGAAACGAGCAAACCGCTCGAGCATCTCCACCATCTGGCCGCGAACGGGAGAGTGTAACACTCCCTGGCGGCCCACTCCGGGATGCCAAAACAGGCGCCTCGCTATGGACATCCTCGCGGCCTGCTCTGAAAGCACAAACCGCCTGAGACATTCCAATCAATCTGGCCGCGAACGGGCGAGTGCAACAACCCCTGGCGCCTCCCCCTGTGTTTGAGCGCCCAAAACTGGGAGGCCAAAACGAGCAAACTGCCAGAGACATCTCCACAATCTGGGCGCGAACGGGCGAATGCAATACCCCGTGACACCTCCTCCACGGGGTGCCCAAAGGCCACTCTTGCCATGTCGCAATGGATACTGGGCTCTCTGCATAATAGATGTTTATCACTTTTCAATACATACCTATATATACATGTATAACAAAAAACTGGGGAGGGGGGGCAGAAGAAGCAAATCACCTGAGACATCCCCACAATCTGGGCGCAAACGGGCGAGCATAACACCCCCTGGTTGTTCCTCCCTGGGGTGCTGCCCACGTGCTACACCTGAAATATTGCGGTGGTCACTGGGCCCTCGAAAAAACATGTGTAAATGTATAGATAAATATATATATATATATATATATACATAAATGTACATATAACGTGTATAACTATACATACTGGGGAAACAGGCAAGCAGCCCGAGGCATCCCCGGAAGCTGGGCGCGAACGAGCGGCGCCTCCTCGGTCGGGTGCAAGCCACGCCTTCTGTGTCGCAGTGATCGCGGGACTCAGCAGACAAGAATCTAGGAGGGTCACAACGCACAGGCCGCGTGAGACGTCCCCACACCGTGGGCGCAAACACGTTTCACGTCGCAGCGCGGCAGAGGACGTCCGAACGCGCGCCCAGGCGGTCCGGGCAACGGAGGGCGCAGAGTGGCCGTCGGCAGGAGGAGGGGGAGACGGGCAAGAGGGATGCAATCACAGGGCGAGGCGCGTCGCCGTGGAGCGGCCAGCGCGGCCAGCCACTGCGGCACCCCTGGCAGCGGGCGCGGGGCGGCGCCACTGCAACGCCGTAGGGGCCGAAGCAGGGGCTGCAGCGCAGGAAGTGGAAGAGGCACACTGCCGAGATGGATAACGAATGGCCACGTCAAAGACGTCCCGTTCCAGCGGGAGGCCAGGAGGTGGCTGGACCCCGGGCGGCACATTGCAGCGGGGCGGGCAGTGCTGCGTGCTGCAGCTGCGTGGCGGGTGCGGGGGGGATCTGATCCCACCGGTAGCCGGCCAGTGAGGAAGCGGTGCAGCAGGCGGCGGGGGCGCAGTGGCGCGCCCACCCAGCAGTGCCACGGACAGCAAGGGCCAGGGCGAACGGCGGTGGCCCGCAACGGGCCTGAGGGGGGCGGTACCGGGGGCAAGCTGGGCGCAAATGCGCGATTGCGATACTGCCGTGCGCCTCCCCCCTTGGGGGCGCCCGAGTGCCACGCGTGCTATGTCGCAGTGATCACTGGGTTCTCAAAAGCGGTGAGTCGTCGGAATACTACCTGGCAGTTCCTCCTCGGGGTACCCAGATTGCCACGCCTGCTACATCGCGGCGACCACTGGGCTCCTGATCCGCCGATCCGGCGTGGGAGTTTAGGAAGTCTAAGCTCAAGCTCTGCTTCAGCATGAGCTTTAGCTCTGTTTGGGAGGGGGGGAGGGGGTGGGGGGGAACCTCATTAACTGTCGAATTCAGTGCTCGGCACCTCCCCCCCCCTGCCAGCCCCCTCCCCCTCGATTTCGGCCCCCCCCCACCCCCCAGAGTTTTGCTCTGCAAGGGTGAGGCCAGGAGAGGGGGGGGGTGCTCTGCAAAGGGGGGGGGCTGCAAAGGGGGGGGGGCCCTCTCAGGCGGGAGCGGGAGCTGCAGGGAAAGGCGGGAGGGTCCGCTTTGCAGATGGGCGCTCTGCAAGGGGAGGGGGGGGGGACAGGAGAGAGGGGGGGGGGGACAGAAGAGAGGGAGAGTTGAGAGGGGGGGGGAACAGAGAAAGGGAGGGGAGGGGGGGGGGGCGGGGGGGGACAGGAGAGAGGGGGGGGGGGGGACAGGAGAGAGGGGGGGGGAGGACAGGAGAGAGGAGAGGGGGGGCGGATCATCACCATCTCCATCACCATCACCATTACCATCACCATCACCATCACATCACCATCACCATTACCATCATCATCATCATCATCATCATCATCATCATCATCATCATCATCATCATCATCATCATCATCATCATCAGCATCATCATCAGCATCACAGCATCATCAGCATCATCATCATCATCATATCATCATCACATCAGCATCATCATCATCAGCATCATCAGCAGCATCAGCATCAGCAGCATCATCAGCATCACCAGCACCACCAGCACCACCACCACCACCATCACCACCACCATCACCATTACCATCACCATCGCCACCACCATCATCATCAGCATCATCATCATCATCAGCATCATCATCATCACCATCACCATCACCATTAGCATCATCATCATCATCATCATCATCATCATCATCATCATCATCATCATCATCATCATCATCATCATCATCATCATCATCATCATCATCCGGAGCGCCCCGGATCGGCGGCACTGGCCGGAGGCCACTACAGTAGAAACGAATATGATCAGCCAAACACGCAATTCAACAGCCCCCAGGCCTGCTAGGCCTCGAAGGCTGCCTCCGCCCGCGCCCCGAGCGGACCGAGACGCCAACCCACCGTCCAAATCCCAGACCTCCGAAGTCGTGATGCTTCAAGGCCTGGGCCCCAGAGCCATCGGTCCCGTCCCTGGGACGGGCTCTTCGTCGCGGGTCGTGCTGTGACAGTCCTGGCGCCCGACGCGGGACCTCGGAGACCCCAGCACTGCAGGAAGTTTGGTGGGCCACAGGCGCAGCAGCGGCGGCTGGGAGGACGAGGAAGGAGGAGGAGGGATGAGGAGGAGGAGGATGAGGAGGAGGAGCGGGAGGAGGAGGAGGAGGAGGGAGGAGGAGGAGGAGGAGGAGGAGGAGGGGAGGAGGAGGAGGAGGAGGGAGGAGAGGAGGGGGAGGGGGGCGGACGGAGGGCGGGGGGCTCGCGTCGGCGTCTTGCCCGGAGTCGTGGCCGCCCCTGCCCGCCAGGTCGCCCGTGCGCGGGTCCCGCCGCGCGGGCCGCGCGCGGGGCCCCGCGTGCCGCGGCGCCGCTGCTGCAGCGCCGCAGCGGAGCGGAGGGTGGGGGGGGCCGCGGGCTCTGCACGAGGCGTGCCCTGACAGTGGGGCCTCACGAGGCCCTGCCACGGGGGGGAGGGGAGGGAGGCCGGTGGCCGTCGCCCGCCTCGGGGAGCTCCGCACGAGAACTTTTTCCTGCATGGCCCGAGGCGCGGCAAAGGAGGGCAGAGCCATCGCGCCGAGCCGTGCAGGAGAGGAGAAGCATGCCTGAAAGTCCCTGCGTGCCCGCGTCTTCCCGCCCGGCATGGTGCCCAACGGTCCGCTTGGAACTGCAGGAGGTGATCTCGCACTCTTGGCACAGTGGGCGCCCCCCCACCGCAGGCACGGGCGCGTGCAAGTACAAGCTTACACAAACACAATCGCCCAATTTGCGATACGTATGATCACTGCCATACCTCTGAGGACACTGAGAACTCTCACCCGAATAATCGACCCTCACCCTTTCCTCTCCTGATACTGCATGTGACAGCTTCGCACTAACAATACAAATGGCGTTCCCAGTTGTGTCAGAGCGCCCCCGCACACCCAATAGTCACACTGCGCACTTGTAGCAGCATGGGTGCTATGAACCCTGCTCGAAATCAAGCGCAGGTGTTCGATGTTGGTCGAAGCGCGAAGCGCGTTCCAAGGGGTCAGATTGTTTCTTGTTTGTTTTTGTATTGCTTATTTGTCTTATTCTTTTTTCAGTGTCTGTGTGCAGTCGCCAATGTCGGCGCGAACCCTGAGATTTTGGGGTCCTGGGGCGCCGCCGCGTCGCGGGAGAAAAACTGCGTTTGCTTTCGAGGAGTCGTGTGTTCTGCGCACCCTGATCCGACCACTGCCTGCTCCATGCCCGTGGAGGCCCAGCAAGCAGGCACGAACTCGTCAACGCGATGACAGGGTGCCCTGAGACACAAGTTGCTGTGATTACACACGCCACGCGCAAACACCGCAGACTACGTGTCAAGGGCTGGGTGAGAAGGCGGCCGCGAGACACGGACAGCCCAAGTCAAACGTGCGAAGGCACTTACCCGATCTGGTTGACCACATTCTGGCTGTACCATCCATGGAAGCTGTAAGCAACTCTGTACCATCGGGGGAAAAAACTGCAGACAACACGTCACCCGTATGTCCCCTCAATGCGGTCAAGCACTTGCCTGAAACGGGAGACCAAATCTTCGCCACGTGGTCGCAAGAGACCGTCAAAACCTCGCAGCCGCCCGGTGAAAAGGCAGCGAACCTGACCGTGTTCTCGTGGCTGTCCAGCGTGCTCAGGCATCCACCAGAGATAACGGACCACACCTATCTGGAGTCGAATATTGCACACCTCCACCGCTTCCGGGCCTTTGTGCAGGGGGACTGGTATTGGCGAGACACTGCGTGCATCCGTTCGCCATGGGAGGCAAGATGGCCAACACTGCTGCGATCGCCGAACCCCTCGGAACACAGTAGGGCGGGCTTGGCCTGGGCGGTGGCGGCATGCAGAATTCGACCTCCGACCTTTGCAGTGCTGTTGAAGAACGTAAGGACCATCTTGCAGTCAGGCGAGAAAACGGCACGCTTCACGTAATCCTCCTGATGTTCCAGCGTATGCAAGCACATGCCCGAGGAAGCCGACCAGATCTTGGCGGTACAATCGAAAGACACTGTTAGCACAGCGTCTCCGCTGGACGAGTATGCCGCAGACTGCACGTAGTCCAGGTGGCCATCCAGTGTTCGAGAGCAGACACCTGAGGCTGTCGACCATATCTTAGCGGTACAATCACTCGAAGCAGTGAGGGCATGGCAGCCATCGGGTGAGAAGACTGCAGACTGCACAAGATCCTGATGGCCCTCCAAAGTGCTCAAGCACGTGGCAGACGTAATTGACCAAACTCTGGCTAGACAGTCCGATGCCACCAGCACTTGCTCGCCGTCGTGCGAAAAAACCGCCGACACTGGGTCGTCTTTGAAGTTGCCTAACGCCAGCAGGCACTCGCCTGAAGAAGCGCACCACACCCTCGCGCTATGGTCGTGGGAGACAGTGAAGACTTGCTTGCCGTCGGTCGAAAACATCACAGATCGCACATCGCTCCCATGAGTGTCGTTCTTGAGCACGCACAAGCACTCGGCCGTAGCTGCACTGAATATTTTCGCAGCGCCGTCCCGTCCCGCGCAGACAACGCGCAGCGGTGGCGTGATGACCAGGGTCAGCTCCACGGTGCCAGAAGCTCCGAGGTCAGCCAGGGTCAAGCTCTCACACAACTCGCGCTCGCCGAATAAAAGCCTTCTCTCGCAAAGTGGAGCTCCAGTGTCCTTCGGAAGTGCCTCAAGCACGTCCTGCAAATGCCATGACGGGGAGGCAGGCAAATCTGCTAGCTCCCTACCGCTGCACGAGAACACGAACACGCGCATGCCGCGCGCATCCGAGCTCAGCGTTGCTACAAGCACCCCTTGAGGCTGAGACTCGGGTGGGTCCGAAAAACGGATCAGCAGATTGCGCAAGATTTATGAAAGCTCGAACGCACTGGATCCGTTGAGAACTTCCTGCGCGCATAGACCCCACTTTGTACGCAGGCCGCCCGCACTTGACTTTTGTCCAAGAACAACCTCACTGTCCCCTTAAACCTCTAGTCCTCCCCCTTCTCTGCCCAATCCAGGGCCTGCAGACAGAGAGACCTGTCAGCACAGTGGAAGTGACGGCGGCGGAGAGCAAAGCTGAGTGGTTGGAAAGAGGCCTTTCGGCCATGGCCCCCTTCCGCCCTGCCACTCGGAGTAGCGCATTGCTTGGAAGAGAGGCCAGTCCGCCGATCGCGGATACTTTCAGAAATGAAGGGCCTGCTCACGCCGATCGAGAACGTTCGGTTTGACGGATGCCTCCCCTCTCTGTTCGGCTACATGACCGTGCACTTCCCTGATGAATACAAATCTGAAGGGGCCCAGGGACACACAAATAAATACGCACAAATCCCAAGATCGCCCATCTTTTGCCATATGTTTGGGAGTTTCGCCTTCTCCCCCACTTCCCATATTCTCCCAGTTCTCCTAGGGTATCGACGATGACTTGTGTCTGTGTTTTTTTTCCCTCCTGCAACTCGCCTGGGGGTCGCTTCTGCGTGGGTTGGTGGCGACACGCGGAGCGTCCACGCCACCGGATAGTATACTCCGCATGGCGTTCTACTACACCAAGATGGCGCCTGGACGGTTTCCACCGGGGCCCTAGGCGACCCGAGGAGGAGGAGGAGGAGGAGGAGGAGGAGGAGGAGGAGGAGGAAGAGGACCCAAGGCGACCTCAAGGCGGCCCCGAGGGGACCCCAAGACGGCCTCCGAAGGGGCCGGACGGCGCAAGAGCGCCTCTAGCCTCCCCATGACGCCCCCAAGAGGCCCCGAAGAGGCCACCAAGAGGCCCAAGAGGCTCCCAAGAGGCCCCCAAAAGGCCCTCAGGAGCCCCCACGACGACTGGACAGCACGCGGCCCACACGTGCACCCCGCGGAGCGAGAGGAATACCCTCCCGACTCGCCCCCAAGCCCCGTGCTCCTCCCAGGGTAGAGCAGGGCGCGGCGCCACAGCAGCGCGGCGGGTGGAAGGCCGCGGGCCGCTGGGCGCGGGCGACCCGCGGCGGACGGCGCGACAGCACCGGCGTCGCCGCGCTGTCGCGCCACCCCAGGAAGGGACAGTGGCGGCGGCGGCGGGATGAATTGAACTCCCTTCTGGCACAACGCGGTTCACTGAAAGACCTCGGGCCGAAACCTGGCGGGCGCAAGGTTGGAAAATGACGGCCGCGGCGCCCTCTCGAGAACCGAAAACTGACAATTTACAAATCGACGCGTCAGGGTGGGGGTCCTGTTCACCCCCGAGCGGCGGAGTGAATCTCACTGGAAGGCCGCCACCGGGCACGCCCAGGCGCGCGAGCGGCGGGCGCCCTCCCGCCACGGCACAAGCCTCGCAGCGCCAAGGCACCCAGAGCAGCAGCCAGGCAAGCAGCAGCTGAGCCAGCAGCCGCGTGCTCCAAGCCAAGCGGGTGCCGCGCGCACGTGGGCCCAGTCTTCCTCCTCCTCCTCCTCCTCCTCCTCCTCCTCCTCCTCCTTCTCCTCCTCCTCCTCCTCCTCCTCCTCCTCCTCCTCCTCCTCCTCCTCCTCCTCCTCCTCCTCTCCTCCTCCTCCTCCTCCTCCTCCTCCTCCTCCTCATTGGCTCCTATTGGCTCATATACCGTCTGTTACCGCTGGCAGAGCCTGCAATAAAGCGGCGAAATACAGTACTGGGTAAGAAAGGAAAAAGTATGGCAGCAGTCACGCCTCCTTGGACGCCCAGCCTGACTGCTGCCACACCAGTGGAACAGACCTCCCAACATACTTCTTAGTGCTGGGGTCCACTCCTCTCTTGAGCATCTTCAGAGACTCCTCTGCGTGGCGATTGCGCGGACCTACATGGCAGACGGAGAAGAGGTAGGGGCGGGCCCGAGCGCTCCCAAAAGCGCCACAACGCACACACCAGGCTCCTCCTCCTCCTCCACCTCCTCCTCCTCCTCCTGCCTCCTCCTCCTCCTCCTCCTGCTCCTGCTCCTCCTCCTCCTCCTCCTCCCCCTCCTCCTCCTCCTCCCCCTCCTCCTCCTCCTCCTCCTCCTCCTCCGCCTGGCCCCCACAAAAGCGGGGGGCGAGGCCGATGGAAGCCCCTGGACAGCTCCAACTCAGCAGCGCGAACGCGAAGCCCCAAGGAACGGAGCGCCAAGTAAAACGCGCGCAACGTTTGCGAAGCTGGCGACGCGGAGCCGCTCGAAGACAGCCTTTGGGAGGACGCCTGCACTGTTCTCTCGGGCGGGCGGGCGGCGCACCCCATCCCACGCGCGAATGCATTACTCCAAGCCAAAATGGCCACGCAGTCATGCAAAGCAAGTGTTTTGCATTCCCCAAAGGTGGGTCCGCAGCTGGAAGCTGAAAGAATACGAGCAATGGCGCAAACACAACGACCTGCCGCAGGACTACCCCCAGCCCGACAAAAGCGATCTGCTGATATGGGGGGCTACAGTCGCTCGGCAAGCCGATCCTTAAAATAGACGCACTTCAGATGCTGCTTACATTCGCCTGAGGCAAATTTCTCCGCCACGAATACGCAGCTGGATGAAGCAAGCCTGGAGCTCCTGAGCATGGGCGCCTCTGGCAACGCGCAGCTTACAGAGCGCGAAACTGAAAACAGGGAGGAAGGGAGGGACGGAGAGAGGGAATTCACAACTGGTCAAACGGTGTTCAAACGTTTTGTCCACGCCAAGGTTGAACAAGTGGCCTTCTCAGAACGGCAAGTGCGCAAGGAACGCGCAACGAACGACTGTCCTTCACAGAACGAAGCGCAGCGGTTCGCGGCTCGGCAGGCTGGCGCACAGCCAAAAGGAAAGGACGAGGAGTAAAAAGATGAGGCATAACAAAGAAAAGCAAAACCCGCAGTGACGCCATGAAACGAAAGCGCGCACGGCCCAGACTCAAGCCAAAAGCGCGCCCTCGAGAGAACGGCACAATTACTCGACCGATAGCGCACCCCAGCGTATATCACGTCATTGGAAATCATCCTGGCGCGTGGCCGGCGAAACCTGGCCCCGCGGCAGCTACAGCGCAGAACGCATGGCAATCAGGGGAGACAGATAGGCAAGTCCAAGTCCAATGAGAACCTGGGGTTGACCCACACCGGCCCCCGCCCGCCCGGCGCATTTTTGGAAGTTCTGGACCAGTCTCGTCCACTGCTGCGTCCAGCTGGCTGGCGCCCCTCAGCCCCGCGAGAATGCTGGCGCGGCTTTGAGGCGCTGCGGAAATCCAGAACGTTCCAGGGCAAGGAAGCCAGCAGCGTCTGCATGTCCGCGCGGGCCGGTGTCTGTCCCACACAGTCGCGCATCCCGAACTCCGGCTGTATGATCGTCCCAGGCAACTGCCCAACGTCGCAAAAGCCAGGCAAGCCTCGCGCAGTGGCCCCTCGCCGACCCCGGGGAAAGCGCAGGGCGCGCTGGCCGAGGTGGAGGGAAAGTCAGGGCGCCCCGTGGGCACGCCCACCGACGAGGCGGGCGACACCTGGGCCGCGGGCGGCACATCGGCAGACGTGGCGAGGCTAAGCTGCCGCGAGGTCACTTTTGCCGCAGCCGGTCCTGCGCGCCGCCTTCCACCACGGCCAGGCAGCGGCCGCGGGGAGCGTTGCGGAGGCGGCGACGGCGATGGCCTCGCCTGCCCCTACGCGCGCATTGCCAGCCGAGGCTGGTCGGCTCCCTCTTCTTGGACGGCAATGGCTGGGTCGCAAGCGACGGGGCCGTCGACCGCGACTGCATCACTAGTGGCAGGGGCGGCGGGGGCCGCTCGGCCACGTAGACTCCGTCCTGAAGCTGCACGGGCAGCGGCGGAGGAGGCGCCTGCGCCGAGGGCAGGGCCACGTGCTGCGCCGGCAGGCCCGCCACTGCGCCGAGGCATCTGCAACTTCGGGGCGGCGCGCGGCCCGTGGCACTGGAACTGCTGCAGGGATGCTGGACCCCGTGGAAATTGCACGCTGGAATCCGCGCTCGCCAGAAACAGGACTCTGTCGACGCTCAACAAGAAGGAGATACACAAGATGGAGCTTGCAGTCGTCTATACAGTCTGGCGCGGGGCGCACCGCGCGCAGGAAAAGCAGACGCCCGAACGGGCACAAATCAGCTGCGCCAGCCGCAGCGCGCCCCAGGGACGCCCCCGCGACGCTCCGTGACGGCCCACAAAAGGCGTTAGACCGCTCGAGAGGGCCCCCGGGCGGCCACCCCTCTGGTAGCAGACATGCCCTCAGCTCCTCGAAAAAGGCTTACCTATCTGCGTCCTAGCTAAATTCATAGGAAGCCGGCCCAATGACCCCCCCTTATGTTGGGTTTACAATCGAAAAACCACCCGGTAGTTCTGCATCCGCATGGAATGCCACTGATATCCGCAACGCATCCTCTGTGTCCACATGCCGTCCTCTGCTACTTCAGCGCCCCCCTGCGGCTATCCCAAAGGCCTCCAAAATAAACAGAACCAGCATGAAAATATGGTGGGGCAGAGAGAGCGTATAATAAAGTGCGATATTAGAGACTTAGAGGAGAAAGGATGGTAAAACAAAAAACGTAAGTAGAGTAGAAAAGAACACACTACAACACAAAGAAAACCTAAGCACAGCACAATACAATACAACAGAATAATGCAAAGAAATAGAATAGAGGATAATTGAACCGGATCGGGCCGATTAGAATATTGCAGAAAGGAGTGGGGCTGGGCCATGTCGGGTAGAGTAGGAGTACAATAGATTGGGGCTGGGTAGAGTAGAGTATAGTATGATAGAATAAGGGAGGGAAGAACAGAGTATAACAGAATAAGAAAGAATAGAGAGACAATTAACATTGGGACAGTGAAGCTTAGAGTAGGGTAGAGTAGAATCGGCTAGCGTAGAGTAGCCTTGGACTCCGTTGAATTGCATGACCAGACTCGCAAAGTAGAGTAGAGCAAGGTGGAATCGGGAAGTATAGAACAGAGAGACATCGGACAACGACGAGTAGAAAAAAATATAAGAACAGACAGAAGAAAGGTGCATAGTAGAACAGTCGAAATGAATGTGAGCCGAGTATAATACAGCATAATTGGCTAAAGCAGAAAAAAACAATCAAAGAAGAGTCGGGTCGAATGGAATAGAGCAGCGAAGAATACGGCAGCGCAGGGTAGATTACAGGACAGTGAAGTAAGGCAGAATAGAGCGGAACAGAATAGAATGGAACATAATAGAATAGGGTCGGGCGGAGAAAGGCAGGGAGGAGTAGAGTTGGGAAGGGTTGCGTAAAGTAGCGCAGCGCACAGTAGGAATAGAGTTGGCAAGAATAAGCTACAGAAACATAGAACATAATAGAACAGCATTGGGGAGAGAAAAAGAAGATAAGCGAAGGGAATAATCATATAGTGTAATCGAACACTACAGACAGTAGGATGACACAACAGAATAGACCAAAAAAGACTAGAATATACTCAACCAGAAACAACAAATAAACAAACAATTCACGAAATATGCATGCCCTATAGGAGTCCCAGCCCATCATGAAGAATTGGTCTTTAGCCCCCCCCACCACCGCCGCCACCACCACCACCACCACCACCACACCACCACCACACCCACCCACCCCACCCCACCCACCTCCTTTACTCCAATCCACACACACACACACCACCACCACCCCTTTTCCAATGCCCCCGCCCCCCAACCCCCCCTTTTTCCAATGGCATCTGCTTGCTTGCTCTTGCGTGGTTGCTCTCGCTTGCTTGCTCTTGCATGCCCTTGCTATCTTGCACTTGATCGATGGCTCTTGCTTACTTCCCATTGCTCGCTTGCGCTTGCTTGCTGTAGGTTGGTTGCAGGCGCTTGCTTGATTGAGCCCCCCCCCCGTGCCCCCCCCCGCCCTGCCCCGGCCCTCCTCTCGCCCTCTTCCCACCCTCTTCTCGTCCCCCTCCTGTCCCCCGATCCATTTGGAGCCAACGCTGGTCTACCTATGAAAGTCTACACTGGACTTCACTAGAATAGAGAAGTGGAAACAACAAATATCATACGAAATGAAAAACTAGAAAAGACTAGGAGCATAACAAACTTGACTTGACTTGGCTTGATTTGACTTGATTTGACTTGAATATAAACTAAAAGAATTCAGTAGAACAGAATAGAATTGAACCCAGTATAGCACAACAGACGAGAACATAATGGGATAGACAGGAAAGGACAGAAATGAAAATAATAAACGCAAAAACAAAGATACATATATATATATATATCACAGAACCTGATGAAATATATAGAATATGACCTGAACCTGAGAATGGAACAAGATAATACATGATCGGATGGACTAGGAAGGAACAGACTATGGAAGATGAGAAGCGAATAAAATATATAAGAAAATAATATAATAGTAAAACAGATATACACATACATACATGTATTACAGCAAATCAAATACAACATGTAACAGAGCAGCACATACTCGAATAGCGTAGAAAGGCAAAAGACGGATAGGATATCCTAGGATACGTTAGAGAAGGACCGGCTGCGACAAGAGAGAGCGCAATGGGCTACAATAGACGAGGACCGACTGGAATCGAATAGGATATGACAGAGTATTGTAAACAGGATAGGCCAATGAAGTCGCGCAGAGGAGAATGTATACTAGAATACTGTAGCAAAGGATAGGAAATAACAGGGAAAAATAAAAGAATCCAAATATATAATACAATAGAAAAGAAATTACACGTAATGGGATACTGTAGAGCCGCACACACACATAGAGTAGACCAGCACAGAATAGCATAGAACAACAGAGGAGAGACGGCAGGGGAAGGGAAGAGGAAGGAAGCAGGTGGAAGGAAAGGGAAGGGAAGGGAAGGGAAAGGCAGGGAAGAAGGGAGACAGAAGAGAGAAGAAAAAAAAGAGCATAGCATAGTATAGCATAGAACAGCATAGCCGACCATCGCATAGCACAGAATA